TATCATCACCGAGATAGCATAGCTAACCAATAGACTAGCTAGGAGCTGCATAACCCAAACATGAGGAATAGAAGAAGTGAGCCCCCGTTATTAAGTGAGTTTGTCTTTTAACTACACGGTTATGGAACTTGGATGAATGGGAATACTTGCGCTCCATTTTTTGTGAGCCACTAAAAGCGAACTGATCATTAAGTGCTTATGAATAGTATTCAGAAAAATACTGCACCTTAGGAGCGCTCTATTTTGAAAATTCGAAAGCGCAACCTGCTTTTTCCATCCTAAGTCTTGAAATGTTTCAACAAAATGCTAACAGCACACAATATGGAACACATCCGCTGGTGTTTTTTCGTACGCAGTTTTGAAAGGTGCTTGAAAAATGTGGTCAACGACGACAGTCGGTGTCCGGTTTCCGGTCCAGGATATTTTGACGCCTTTTTATCTTTTCCCCCCACAAAAAGACAGTTAACACTCCTGAGATATTTGATACAACAGGTCGATAGAAAACGGAACAAAAACGATAAAATTTGAAAAAATAAAATTTTGGGCTAATCTAAGAATGCAACCGTACCACGCCTACGATGGAGCTAAAATGAAGTTTGAATCCCGGCACGCGCGTAATGTACCTTTGATATGCTAATTACCGTAACAGGCTCTGCGGCACGTGCAATCGGTTGGCGCGTTTTCTGAGTTTTTTTGTAACAGTCTATTTCAAGAACTGGCAAGCTCATACTAAATTTATCGTGGGAAATCCCATTCATACAACGATTACCAAATAACGAAGAGAGAAGAGGATCGCGCGTAATCTTCGCCGCAAATGTGATAGTGAATTTAGATGAAGCAGTGTACGTAACATGAGGAGAGTCTTATGGAGGTTCGTCGACAAACAGCTGCTTCCTTTGAAGCTAGAAATGACCTTCTGGTCTTTATCTCATACTTTCTTCTTCTCTCATTTCTTGTCAGCTTCTCCTCTGTCTGGTCTCGCTGTATAAGCTCCAAGTTGGTAGAGGTGCTGCTATTGCTCTTTGGTGATTCTTTATTTGGGTTTCTCGTTACCCATTAAGCTTACAGAAGTTTTGCTTTCTTTTCATCTTACTTATGCAGTCTTTCCTAGCGGGTTTAGTGTTCTCCCCTGTCGCATAAACGCAGAACAACCGCTTAAGATTCTGATAGTTTCAGCGCTCTTTAATGACCTAGTTTTCTGAACGTCTTTTGAGCGTTTCGAAGAGCTTGAGCGATGGCTTAGTAGCTCAGATGTCTTCAGTCGAATTTCTGAACAATAACATATTTTCCAATATAAACAAATGAAATTCAAAGACAGTTTTCTCGTTTCCTCTCGCCATGCATTAGTCGTTTCTCATTTTACATATTAGTCTCTGCGATGAGGTGTTTATAATTTTTTCAAGTCATTGGAATGAAACATTGCAGCTGTTTCATCCTTACTACTCACGCAATTTTTTCATCAACGCACAAAATACTTTAAATTCGAGTTCTCACCTCATCTCTCATTTTTTCCTCAGTTTAAATTTACGTCATGTTAAGATGCTTTCTGCTTGAGAAATTGTTGTCAGTAACCGAATCTCCTTAGATGCGCTAGCGATTCTAAGGTTGCCGCTTCACATACGTAATATGACAGTGGGAGATAGGGAATCTAACATTAGCTGCTATGTCCTTTCGCTTATAAGAATCGCTTATCCCATTGAGATCTCCTTGAAAGCAGCTACTTCTCTTTTTTTTTTGCGTCATGATGCAAGATATGTCCATCTAGGAGCAATTACTTTGATATGATATATTTGACATGTTTATACTCAAAAGCCTCGTCAACTACTCATCTCTAATTTCTAACTTGTCACACATACTGTGGTTTGAACTGAGTATTTTGAATTGTTTGAAAACTGAAAAGTCTCTGAATCTCTGAACCTTGTTGTTTTCATCAAGTAAAAGTTCTAGCTGACCTTTCCATTGATTCACAAGCTTGCACATGAATCCCAGAGGTTGTGACGGTGCTCTTCACTCGTGATGATTGCAAGTGGGTGTTGATGAGTTCGTTTGTTCAGATAGAGACACGAATTTATTCGATGATCCATCTTCAATGATCTTTCAATAACTTTGAGTTTATTGTCTTTGTACCTCCCAAATTCATCAATTCATTCCTTTTTTCACTATCCAGCCGATCCGGTCTGTATCTCTTCGTTGTTCATGTTCAGATTCTTGTTTCTCAGATGATCATTTGACTGTCCATTGTAATTTTCGAATGATATATTCGAATGTGTCAGTAGGTGAGCCAAAATAGCTCGGAAATCAAGATATTGTCATATCGCTGAGCGACCTTTCGCACTAACCATACAGAGGTTTAAGCTAGGCAGCTGCTCAGCGACTTCTCTTGAACCACTAACAGCTAGACTTTATTTGCTCGGTCTCTGTCAGATTTTTCTAGCCGTCCTCTATGGGATGCTCTGTATCTCTCTTCCCAAAAATGTCAGAAAACGTTTCTCATCCTCTCATCTTACATCATTTCTTCAAAATGACCGATCATAGACTTTCTTCGGCTCGGCAAGCCCAGCAAACAACGTTTTCCCCGTCTGTCATGCCTGCAGCATCACATCCCTCGAACCCTATTCGCGTATTCACAAAAGTGAGAGCCAGTTTCGGAAAGGAGGTGGAGAAAACAAGGAAGCGAATGGGCACACAGTCATTCCCCTAAGTCTCATTGCTGATAGGCATTCATGGTCTCAAATGCTCTACGTTTCAATTTAGGAGTATTCACACTCACAATTCATTTGTCTCTCTCTTGCTTTAATCACTTTCCTATTTTTCTTTTTGTCCTTCAGATAATATGAACAAGGAACGTCGACCTTCTTTTGAGCATAGGCAGAGGCAGCAGAAACGCACTCGCTGCCTGGTTGCTGCCGTTACAATTCTAGGATTAATAGGTTTGCAGATGAAAACAAACTTTAACTCTCTTCCTTCAAGGGGTCTTAATTATCGGAGCTGCTGTTTATCTTTACATTCAATCTCTACAAGCTGAAACTGAAACTCGGGAGAACAATGACTACATGAGGAAATTAGTTCGCCAAATTAATGATGCACCCAATATAACTTGGAAAGTAATTTTACAATCACAAGGATGTCTATAACAATCGTTCACGCATTTTAGGCGAAGTTTAACAAATTCGGTATCAAGAAGAAATCTTATGGATTCCAATACACAAGAAACGCAACTGCAGTTCAAGAGTACTTCGATGAGATCACTAAGTTCTACAACTCGGAGCAAATGAAACAACATTTGAAGTACATTTTTTTCATTCAAAACTAACTTTCAAATATAATGGTCTTAACAACAATCGATGATGCTTGCATTCTAGGCAGTTGGCCGATTATCCAGACGCAGATGTTCCCAAAAGTTTTGATGCCAGAATGAAATGGCCTCATTGCCCATCCATTTCGAATATTCCAAATCAAGGAGGTTGTGGAAGTTGTTTTGTTAGTTTCATTGTTTTGGATGACAGATAACCAAGTTATTTGTAGGCTGTAGCTGCTGTGGGAGTGGCTGCCGATAGAGCTTGTATCCATTCTAATGGAACTCATAAAGCTTTGTTCTCTGAAGAAGATGTTCTTGGTTGTTGCTCTGTATGTGGAAATTGCTACGGGGGAGACCCACTGAAAGCTCTCACATACTGGGTTAATGAAGGATTAGTCACAGGTAAATGGTTAATTTTTGAAATTGTTCTCGAGGTAGCAGTCATGAAAGCCTCTTCAATCGAAATACCTTAATGAGCTAACTAGATCATTAGTTCATTTTGGTCCCTTGAAAAACGAAATGATTAATTCGAAAAAAGTGTCACGTTGCAGCCATTTTGATAAAAAAATGTTTTGTCTTAGAAATTTTATTCGTTATCATTTCTTATCTTTGTGTGTGTGGTCAAATGAGTGAAAAATAATGCTGAGTACACATTTCATATGATTGACAAGTGTCAAGAACCATTTTTAGTTTTCTACTCTAAATATAAAGATGCTCTGCTTATCTGTGAGCGCAGAAAAAATAGACTTGAAGAAGAATTATAAAGTGTGGACTATAATACATTTTTTAAGGTGGCAGAGATGGCTGCCGCCCTTACTCTTTCGATCGTTCCTGCGGTGTACCTTGCTCTCCAGCAACCTTCTTCGATGCTGAGCAACGACGAACATGCGTTCGGCGTTGTCAGAACATTTATTACCAAAATTCATATGATGAGGACAAGCATTACGGTTCGCATATTGATACTTCTATGTATATCTTGAATTGTAGCCTCCTTCGCTTATTCCCTGTATCCACGTAGTATGACCATCAGCGCAGACGGTACTGTTCGTGAGAAAGTCCCAACTATAATTGGACATTTCAACTCCACAGCTACGACCCCTCTTAACTTAACAGAGGTGACAATGAAGAAATGTATATAATACTCTTTTATTTCTGTAGATCCGTACTATCCTGATGAAAGAAATATCTATGTTTGGCCCAACAACCATGGCCTTCCCAGTTCCTGAAGAATTCCTGAGTTATGCGTCAGGTTGGACGGGTTTACTTGTGAGTAAAAACTCTGAATTCTAGGTGTGTTCCGGCCATTCCCTAATGAGGACTTCAACGACAGGATTATATACTGGCATGTTGTTCGTTTAATTGGCTGGGGCTATGAAGAAGACGGCTCCCACTATTGGCTAGCAATTAACAGTTTCGGCAATCATTGGGGCGATGGAGGTGAGAGTATAATAGTTTCCAAAAATAATCAGAGCCAAATTAAAGGTTCCTTCAAAATCAACACGGACTCCATGGAGAAATATGGGTTGGAATATGAAACAGCACTGTAAATTATAAATTGTATTTCCTGTATTTATGTATTTAACTATATAATTGTTATATATTTATTATGTTGCATATTGTTCAGTCTTTCAATAAACTATACGCATTCCACGACTAATAAAAACGATAACTGAGACAGGTTAAGACCTTGCCCTCTAATAATCTATTTGGCTTTCGATTCTTTCTGTAATGAGAGGAACCTGAAAGCTATTCGATTAACAAATTGATTCTTTTAATATATCAAACCTCAATTTTAACTTTTCTATCCTTCTATTTTGTGATATTTGTCTCTTCCTAAGAGCTCTCCAATATAACCATCCGTCCTGAAAACAAACGGAATGAACTCAACTTTTTGTGATGAGGAGAATGCAACAATTCTGTGAGGAGAATGCAACAGTTCTGTGAGGAGAATGCAACAGTTCTGTGAGGGGAATGCAACGGTTCTGTGAGGAGAATGCAACGGTTCTGTGAGGAGAATGCAACGGTTCTGTGAGGGGCAAATCAAGGAAAATAAAATAAAACAAGTGAAAGAAAAAGCTCTGATATGTTTCAATAAATTAAATGAAACCGCTTACTCTTTCTTGGTCCAAATCCTCTAACTCCTTAGGAGAACTCAAATCTAGCTCAAACAACCATTGTGGATATTCTGAATCTGGCTTAATAGGAGGTCCAGGTTCTTCGCCTATAATTTATTCATTTTACTTTGTGAATATGCTGATCTGCTTGCCTTGAACATAAAAATTGATACAGGCGTGAGTAGCTAGCTTTTCAGCTTCGTCTGATACAAAACTCTTATCAATTTTACCCCCAACAACTTTGCCTCCAACGGGAGCAGCTAGATTCCTGACAGCTGGAAAACCGCAATTAGATGGAAGAAATAAGAAACAAAGATCACCATTGGTTATGATATTGAAACGAGTAGTTTGAAATATTGCTATTCTCAGCATCTGAAATCATAAGATAACAAACAACAATTAATATAGGAAAAGTATTCAAACGCTAATCGTTGATGCGATAAATATAATAACAACAAGTGATCACTTTATCTACAGACCGTATAGAAATCCTGGTTAATGTAAATGATATGTTAATGAGTGAGTATTGCGATTTGTTTACAAAATAAGTTAGTCGATACAATCTAAAAAATTCTCTTTTCGTCTTTTGGCAACAGATTCCGTCTCTGCTGCTACTATTCGTTTACTAACAGTAGTTGAACCTGTGGAAACACTTGACGTGTATAACTGTTTTACAGCAACGTCTGAAAACAAAACAAAATAGATTAAAATTCTAACGTAACAACTTACTAGAACAATCTTTGAACATTGCTACCAAAGAAGCCTTGTTGAGTAATGATGGCATTAGTTTTTTCGAACCATAAGATTCAGAAGCTGTAAGTGCTACCAAACCAGCATTCTCAAGAGCGCATTCTTCCTCTGTCATTTCTGCTGATACGTTTAATGTAACGGTCTGTTCCTAAAAACGTTCTTGTTACTTGAAACAGTTATCGCTTGCCTACCAGCTCTTGTTTCATGCGCAATGCTTCGGATCCCAGTTTCATTTCGTCATCGTTTTCAACTTCATCCTCTATATTTGATGCAGACAAATCCGTTGTTGTTTCTATAGAATCCATCTCCTCTCTAAGTTTAATTCGGAACGACCTATTCGTTCTGGTTCCTCCCAAATCACCATCAGCAAGTAATCTATGAAAAATAAGTTAAATGTCCATCTAGCATCTCTTACCTTTCTTGAAGTCTCACTATTTCTCTATGTTCTTGTTGCAGTTCTTGTTTCATTAGATGCTTTTGATTTTGAAGCTGTATAGTTTGAGCATCAGGGACATCATCATTATCACCTGATTAAACGGATGATCAGTAAGAATCATAACACGAAAACTAACCTTCCTCCAACTCATATTCATTGTTCCCATCAAGTTCCTCATCTAAGTCACTGCCTACGTCATCTCCCGAGAGTGAAGCTTCGTCATCAAAATAGTTATTTTTTTTTAATCTCAAAGCATAAAAATAGAACAATAGAAAACGCAGGAATCTTACTTCTTCTTGTAATCAGCTTTCAGGAAACGATTGTACTCAGCTAGCTCATCATCTTCTTCGTTTCCTCCTTCCTCATTTTCATTTTCATTTTCATCGTCTTCTGAATCTTCCGAGTCTTCCTCTTCATCTGCTTCATCCTGAACTTGCTCTCCCAAGCATTCAGCAGTACCTGTACATGGAACTATAAACAGCACACGAACATTATACAAACCGCTATGATTTGGTCCCTCATTATCTGACTCCTCATCAGACTCGAGAATTACGTGCTTCAATTCCTCAACCTTTTCGGCTTGTGTGGAATCACAGCTGGTTTCCTGCAAAAACACGTGTGATCACCCGATGGTAAAAAATCTCACGTTCTCATTGTTTTCGTTTTCTAGTCCAGCTATATTCACGCTCTCATCGTCTTGCGAGACAGTTCTTTTTGTTTTTTTCTTTAAGATCACTTCATCCTCTTCATCTGTTTCACTAAAACGGAGAAATTTAGCAAGAAACTGGTCAACTAGTATTACTTATCGGAATCAGGTGCATCAGAATCCTCATCAGTCTGACTGTCAAATCTTCCAGAACAAAGATTCAACAATTCGTCTTCCGCGAGAGTAGACACTTTGGCCATAGCCTTTGACCGTTTTTCTAAATCCACCAATCCATCTTCTACACGATCGCTAATCAATAAGAAAAATAATAACAGAGAATTGAAATCCTAAAATACTTTTCATCGTTGAACCACTGAGACAGAGTACTGGGGAACGTCGCTTCATTAGATACAGAAGACTAAAAAACAAATTCTTCTTTTCATAAGGTATAACTCAAACCTCTGTAGAACCACTTTTTTCTTGGCTGTTAACAGTGTCAAGTTCCACTTCAGGCTCTATAGAGTCGGATTGGTTTCCCACAGCTTGATCACTCATTTTTACTTCCTTCTCTTCATCTTCCACCTCATCTTCATCATCTTCGGAGTCTTCTTCCTCATCTTCGTCGACATCGGATGCCTCACTACCATCATCCTCTCCTTCTTCGTCATTGTCTGATTTTCCTTCAACTAAACCAAAAGACTATTAAAAGAGTTCGACTTTCTCGATCCTACCCCAATCGTCGTCAGCATCCTCATCAGATTCAGTCGCAGGTTTGACAACTTTCTTTTTCTTCCTTAGAAAGTGACTTCTTTTTGAATTTACGACAGATCATACCTCTCTTTTTTTATTTCCTCTTCTTCTTCCTCGTCCGAAGCGAAAATGTCATGATTATCTTCCTTGTATAAGCGCTTTCTCTTCTCTAACTCTGCTCTTGTTCTAGCTAACAGTTTACTTCTCAAAGATTTCTTAACAACTTTCGAAGCTTTTCCTAAAATGGTTATCAATGGTTTCGAATGAGTGCACTTCAACTAACTTCCTCCAGTATGCGATCTAAAAAGATCACGTATTAAGATTTCAAATAACTCATTTACAACATACTCATTTTGTGGTTTTGTACGAGTTTTAGTCAATGCTGGAAATCTCTCTTGCAGCCAACAATCCTTTTGATCCTTGGTATGCAAATTAGTACTACGTCAACAAAAATAAATACCGATGGTTGCGAGAGATCTATTTCAGTTGTGCCATTGTTAAATTTGGGAGAATCCACTCCAGACAACTTAAGTCGTTCCAATAACTTTTTTGATCTGATTTCACGCTTAAATTGGAAAAAGATTGCTATCAAGTATTGAATAATATTTGTACTTTATTTTTTGTAATATTACAAACTTCGGTTAAGACCTCAGAGCTGTCTGCAATGACTATTGAACTTGCTTGTTCATTTTCCATTTCTGATTCAATACCCAACGAATTGATTACTGAAACCTTTGCAGTTGAAAACTCGATTCAAAAATAGAAGTAATTAGTTCAGCGGACATATTAAAATACTGTTAAATGTCACTCAACAAATTACGGTAGTAAGAATACTTCGTAACTGCAAAACAATCTGAAATCTACGTAAATCTCGGGGAGCAATTTACCAAACAAATATAAAGAAGTTCGAATTTGGCGCCTACCGTACCTAGCTGCGTATCAACACGCTGTCCAGGGCAGTTCGTGTGTACCAAGAATCCATCGACGATTTAACATCACTCTTCATCACCGCCTCTCCTGTGCGGTCGTCCCTCCTAGTTGTTTTCTAGGGAAGTTGCTTAGGGCAGCGTTTAGCATCTAAAAATGGTAAGTTGTATTATTATTATAATTTTTTTTTATGATATGAGATTCAAAGTAGTAGAGTTAAGTAAGAGATCAGGTAGTCTACGTGGCACATGTCTCTTTCTCTCTCGCTCTCTCGAATCTTAATCCACAATTTATTATAATTTCCATGTTTAACATTTGTGATTGTAGGTTAACTTCACCATCGATGAAATCCGTGGTCTTATGGACCGTAAAAAAAATATCCGTAACATGTCTGTTATTGCTCATGTTGATCACGGAAAATCTACTCTTACCGATTCCTTAGTCTCTAAGGCCGGTATCATTGCCGGAGCCAAAGCCGGAGAAACCCGTTTCACCGATACCAGAAAGGACGAGCAAGAAAGATGTATTACCATCAAGTCTACGTATGTTTGCTTTTGTCAGACTTTCAGTAATAAGTGCTTTGTAGTGCCATCTCTATGTTCTTCGAGCTTAACCCCAAGGACATCGGATTCATCAAGGGAGATAACCAAGTTGAAGTCAACGATGTTGATGGAAAGAAAGAGAAATACAACGGTTTCTTGATCAACTTGATCGATTCACCAGGTCACGTTGACTTCTCCTCTGAAGTAACTGCCGCTCTCCGTGTTACTGACGGAGCTCTCGTTGTCGTCGATTGCGTCTCTGGTTTGTTGACCTTCTTATCTTCATTGTATACAATTATGTTAATTTAGGAGTATGTGTCCAAACCGAGACTGTACTTCGTCAAGCCATCGCTGAAAGAATCAAGCCTGTCTTGTTCATGAACAAGATGGACCGTGCTCTTCTTGAACTTCAACTCGGAACTGAGGAACTTTTCCAAACCTTCCAACGTATTGTTGAAAACATCAACGTTATCATCGCCACCTACGGAGATGATGATGGTCCAATGGGAGCCATCATGGTTGATCCTTCTGTCGGAAACGTCGGATTCGGTTCTGGACTCCACGGATGGGCCTTCACCCTCAAGCAGTTCGCTGAAATGTATGCCGAGAAATTCGGTGTTGAGGTAATTTAATATTTATATGATGAAATAAGCTAGACTTTTCTTAGGTCGACAAGCTCATGAGAAACCTTTGGGGAGATCGTTTCTTCGACTCTAAGACCAAGAAGTGGTCTAACTCTCAAGCCGAAGGAGCCAAGAGAGGTTTCTGCCAATTCGTTTTGGACCCCATCTTCCAGGTATTAAGGTTTTTGCATACTGCATACTATAACTATTTAGGTCTTCGATGCTATCATGAACATCAAGAAGGACAAGGTCGCTGCTCTTGTTGAGAAGCTCAACATCAAGCTTGCTGTTGACGAGAAGGATCTTGAAGGAAAGGCTCTCATGAAGGTTGGATTGCATAACAATTAGTTTTTCTAAGTTGAATTTTTTAAGGTCTTCATGCGCAAGTGGCTTCCAGCTGGAGACACTATGCTTCAAATGATCTGTATCCATCTTCCATCCCCTGTTACTGCTCAAAAGTACAGAATGGAAATGCTCTACGAAGGACCTCATGATGATGAAGCTGCCGTCGCCATCAAGAACTGTGACGCCAACGGACCACTCATGATGTACGTATCTAAGATGGTACCCACATCTGATAAGGGACGTTTCTACGCTTTCGGACGTGTCTTCTCCGGAAAGGTCGCTACTGGACAGAAGTGCAGAATCCAAGGACCCAACTACGTCCCAGGAAAGAAGGAAGACTTGTACGAGAAGACCATCCAACGTACCATTCTTATGATGGGACGTTACATCGAACCCATCGAGGATATTCCATCCGGAAACATCGCTGGTCTCGTCGGAGTCGATCAATACCTTGTTAAGGGAGGTACCATCACCACCTACAAGGACGCCCACAACATGCGTGTCATGAAGTTCTCCGTATCTCCTGTCGTGCGTGTTGCTGTTGAAGCTAAGAACCCTGCTGATCTTCCTAAGCTCGTAAGTTTTGATTGATTTAAAATGGTTTTAACGAGTATAATTAAGGTCGAAGGACTCAAGCGTCTCGCCAAGTCCGATCCTATGGTCCAATGTATCTTCGAAGAATCCGGAGAACACATTATTGCCGGAGCTGGAGAACTTCACTTGGAAATCTGTCTTAAGGATCTTGAAGAAGATCACGCTTGCATTCCACTTAAGAAGTCTGACCCAGTCGTATCATACCGTGAAACTGTTGATGCCGAATCCAACCAGATCTGTCTCTCCAAGTCTCCCAACAAGCACAACCGTCTTTTCATGACTGCCAAGCCAATGCCTGATGGTCTTGCTGACGATATCGAAAACGGAACTGTCAACCCACGTGATGACTTCAAGGCTCGTGCCAAGGTTCTCGCTGAGAAGTACGAATATGATGTCACTGAAGCCCGTAAGATCTGGTGCTTCGGACCTGACGGAACTGGACCAAATCTTCTCTTCGACGTCACCAAGGGAGTTCAATACCTCAATGAAATCAAGGATTCCGTTGTCGCTGGATTCCAATGGGCTACCCGTGAAGGAGTTCTCTGTGACGAGCTTATGCGCGGTTGCAGATTCGACATCCATGATGTTACCCTCCACGCTGACGCTATCCACAGAGGAGGTGGACAAGTTATCCCAACTGCCAGACGTGTTATCTACGCTGCTGCTCTTACTGCTAGCCCAAGACTTCTTGAGCCAGTATACCTTGTCGAAATTCAGTGCCCAGAAGCCGCCGTCGGAGGTAAAAACTTGTTGATTGATTGATTTTTCTTATTTCTCAAATTTGCAGGTATCTACGGAGTACTTAATCGCAGACGTGGTCATGTCTTCGAAGAATCCCAAGTTACCGGAACCCCAATGTTCATCGTTAAGGCTTACCTTCCTGTCAACGAGTCCTTCGGTATTATACTTTAACAATACGGACGCTCAATGATTAATTATAGGATTCACCGCTGATCTTCGTTCCAACACCGGAGGACAAGCTTTCCCACAATGCGTCTTCGATCACTGGCAGATTCTTGCTGGAGATCCACTCGATGGAAGCTCCAAGCCATTCCATGTTGTTAATGACACCAGAAAGCGTAAAGGACTTAAGGAAGGAGTTCCAGCCCTTGACAACTTCCTCGATAAGATGTAAAGAAGTTATTGTTTTTGTTTGTTACAATCGTTATAACTTTTTAAAAATAAATGCGGTTGTTTTGTTTAATGTGTTTTTATCTATAAATGCTTCATCTAAAGCTATCATCCACAGTTCAGTAGAAAAGCAGAGAAAGTTAAAAAGAACAAGCAGCAAGAGAGCATACGATAAGATCCAATTAAAAAGATTAACAAAAAGAGAAAAGAAACAGCGCAACTGTTTTGCATCAGGTCAGGGGCCTGTGGTCTGTTACGCTGGTAGATAGTCAATGTAATAGGATTGGTAACCAACTTGTCGAATTTTTGCTCTTTGTAAAAACTAAAAACAAATCAGTGGTTGACCTTGTGTTGTGACCTACTCTTTAATTTTTGTCCTCTATTGATTATACACAAAGTTCAAATACGACTCACCAACATACAAATTTAGCATCACTTTTGCTTTCAAATCAACCGCATCCCTCCAGGGTCTGTTCATTCTCCGTTCTTCACTATCATTCTGACTTCAATCAGTCTCTGCGGTCAGTGATCAGTTCCGACTGCTGAAGAATTTCTTCGTAAACAAGTATCTTATTCTTCATTTTGGTTCTCCAGAAGTGTTTTTGTCTATAAATATTCGATGTTCTCAAATAATCTCGCTGTATCGTGATTTCGCTTGTCTGTATTATCAGTCATCGTATTCTTTTCTTTTTTGCTCATAACTCTTGTGGTGTTTTGGCTAGACCCCAGTAGTTTATTTTCCAATATGTTCCCGTTTTAAAGTGAGGCGGTCTAGTGCGGACTAAGTACGTGAGCTTAGGCAGCTTGCTTTCATTTCTATTTCGCACTGCGTGAGAAGCGGTTGCATCTTCCATTTTAATGTTCTGCTGCTTTTATCAAAGGATTTGCAAATATGAAGGTGCATCATATTACCATTGAATAAGACTGCTTATTGTCAGGAGATGCTATGCTGTTTCTTTTCCTGTTCCAGATGATAACAGACTCTCTCTCTTTCATGTTTTTGCCATTCATTCATTCACATGTTCTTTTCCAAAGATGATGTTTGTTCTTCACTGCTCTACATTGCTACATTTCAGAATGGAGGAACAACACGACACTATGGGACGTTCAGGCCCAAAGAGAAGACCAACTTTAACTCGTCGCATGACTGTTGAGGAAGAACACTCCGGAGTTTATTTTAGGTAAAGTCATATTTCTATTGGCAAATTGAACATGTGCGAAACATGAGTGTAGCTCGAAAGCTTATATCGCGGCGGAACCTTTAAACGGGCGGTGCCGATTACGAAAAATGCTGAGGAACTTCGCGTAGTCATGAGAGCAATGCCCAGTCAGCATTTTGTCGCATCATCGATTTTTTATGCCGCGGGTATTTGGAACTTACTAAGTAGGACGTCTTTAACATGACTGAACATTAGTGTAATCATGTGCGTAAAACTGTCGTATGCCAATCTGCGGGTGGCGCCACAAGAGAATGTGATCGGAAATACTGGGATCCACGTGCTATCCACATGAAATCAGAAAAACCACACATCTGCTCTTTGTCTTCCTTTTTTCGTATTCAGATAAGGGAATAAGAATTTGTAATGACCCAATAATCACCCTTCTCTCTTTCCCAAACTCTGCATTGTTGCTTTCACACTTGTGCTAATGTTAGAAGACGCTATTGGAAAAACTGACAGCGATTTCGTCTTACGCCCACTGATCAATCCGTTCAATTTTGTAATAGTTTGATCAGACTTTTGAAATTGCTACGATCTCCTTGATCATTCTTTCCATTATTAGTACGTAAGATGTGGTGCAAGTTGGTTATTCTTTGTGTTTGTGTAGGAAGCCAGAGCACGAGCAATCTCGCTGGCGCTTTCGAAACAGCGGCGGCAGCAACAGCGGCAAGCAGCGGGCTAGTTAGCCCGTCCACCGATCGACCCGAACTGGCGGCTGTTGCTGTTCGTTGTGTGTTTGATAGAGAATAGCCGTCATGTTATCGATGCTCGCTTATGATTTTTGAAAATCGTTCTGGATTTTTCTACAGTCATCATTTCGCTCGTTTCTTCTCATTGTCCGTTAGTATCGCTCGCATTCCATTCATCATCATCATCATCTTATTTTCTCTCGCGTTGTTCAGATAGGCCCATCTTAATCGGAAACATGGACGGAAAATTGCTTCAACAAGAGTTACAACAAGTTAGTTATGATATGTAAGTTTGTCCCCTCAGTATACCGTTGGCCCACCTCCTCTTCTCTCATGGGATCACTGAAGATCTTGATTCGGTTCATTTATTTACAAAAGAATTGAGCAGAACTTGGATACTCTGCATGGGGTTCTGACTTTTTCACTTTCTTCATTTTGTTAGTAATTGCGCTAATTGAAGCCTCTCCTACTTAAGTTTTCACGAAGAAAGAGAGGTGTTTAGTTAGTTAGTCGATTTGCTTTTCGCGGGAGTGTGAAAATGCCTTGTTCATGGTTTCAACTAGGGTTAAGTTGCTTTCTGCTTACTATTCTCTATTCGACTTTCACATCTTTACCGCTCTTCATGTAATTACTGACTCTTATAGGCAAGAGCAGAAGGTCGAAGATGCCCCTGCAGCTACCCATTTGGAGCATCTTTGCCGCCTTGACATCCGGGAACCACCTCATCTTGTACGAAAGACTGGAATCATATGTACCATTGGTATGGCTATTGACTTATATTCCGTCCTATGCGTTTTGTTTAGGACCTGCTTGTCGCAGTGTTGACATGCTCCAACAGATGATTCAAAATGGTATGAATATCGCTCGTATGAACTTTTCACACGGATCTCATGAAGTATGACGTTACGAAAGAATCCTTTCATTCAATTTTGTGCAATTTAGTACCATGCAGAGACTATTGCTAATGTCAGAGCAGCAGCTGAATCTTTCTCAGACGTTCGAATGATCGGTATCGCTCTTGATACTAAAGGACCAGAGATCCGTACCGGACTTTTGGCTGGTGGAGCCTCTGCTGAGGTTTTGAGCTGCGAAGTTTCGTTTCTTAAATATCGATTCAGGTTGAACTTGTTAAAGGAAACTCGATTCGTTTGACAACTGATAATCACTTCGAAAGCTCGGGAACCGCTGTTAATCTCTATGTCGATTATAAGAATATTGGCAAGGTAATACAAAGATCTTTTCATGAAGTATCAGCACTCTGTTCTAGGTAGTCAAGCCTGGAAATCGTATTTATATTGACGATGGTTTGATTTCTTTGATTGCTGAGGAAGTTTTGGAAGGAGCCATCGTTTGTACAGTTGAAAATGGTGGAAGTCTTGGTATGTTGATTTAAGTAATCGTCAAGTATGTGTGTAATTGAAGGAAGCAGAAAAGGAGTCAATCTTCCTGGAACAATCGTAGACTTGCCAGCTGTCTCGGAAAAAGACATCAAGGTTCGATTAAAGTTACTTATGAGAGTTAATTCGTGTGAATTATGCAGGATTTGCGTTTCGGAGTAGAACAGAATGTTGACATGATTTTTGCTTCTTTCATCCGTAATGCCGACGGTATTAGAACTATTCGTCGTGTTTTGGGAGAGGAAGGAAAACACATCAAGATCATTGCTAAGATTGAAAACCAAGAAGGAGTTGATAAAGCTGATGAGATTATTGCTGAATCCGATGGTGTCATGGTTGCCCGTGGAGATCTCGGAATTGAAATTCCATCTGAAAAAGTATTTTTAGCTCAAAAGGTATGTTTGGAATTAAACAATACAAATTCTGCATGCAACCTTTTGCAAAATGTTCTCTATCGCTCTCATGGTTTTCTCAATACACTCTCACACGCAATCTACGCTTATTCATACAACAATATACTTTTCAGATGCTTATCTCCAAGTGTAATCGTGCTGGAAAGCCTGTGATCTGCGCTACTCAAATGTTGGAGTCTATGGTTAAGAAACCACGTCCTACTCGTGCGGAAGGAAGTGACGTTGCCAATGCTGTAAGTGAATGAGAGATAGGAAACAGTTGGGGCGCGTAGTATAGCGGAAAGGGGGGCGCCCTGATTGGGCAAGACAGTCTAGTGTTCGATCCCCCTCGTGGGCCACAGAGTCTCAGTTGTTCGAATTAAGATCATCCGTGCTAAGTTGGTCCGAGATTAAATCTGAGTCAGTTAATACGGTTGAGGCTATCCTCAGTTGCATACTTCCTCGGTACATTTTGGCGAATTCGAAACATAGTTTTGTTCCAGGTTCTTGATGGCGCTGACTGTGTTATGCTCTCAGGAGAAACTGCTAAAGGTGATTACCCACTAGAGGCTCTCAAAATTATGCACTATATCTGCAAGGTATGAGTTAACATTCGTACAGTTATACCTTGATTCATCTAGGAAGCTGAAGCAGCTGTCTATCATCGCAAGTTCTTCGAAGAGCTTCTTTTGAATACTCCCAAACCAACTGATATGACCCACACGATCGCTATTGCTGCCACCAGTGCTGCTACGAGTTGTCATGCTTCGGCTATTCTTGTGATTACCACTACTGGACGGTAACCTCTTTTCTATTATAGGGCATTCATATTGTTTTACAGTTCCGCCATCCATTGCTCACGCTACAAAAGCCCAGTACCTATCATCACCATTTCTAGAAATGCCGCAGTTTGTCGTCAACTTCATCTCTTCAGGTTAGTTTTTCTTAGATTAGTCTATCATGTTAAGTTTTTGCATTGCAGAGGAGTTTTCCCAATTCATTATGATGCTGAGAGAAATGCTGATTGGCCTAGCGATGTTGATAACAGAATTAATCATGGTATTGCTGTCGGAAAGGAAAGAGGATTCATTCATAAGGGAGACTTCCTTGTTGTTGTTACTGGTTGGAGACAAGGTGTGCATTTCAAGCTATTTATAAGTTTTTGGAAACAAATCATGTTTTCATTCATCTTATCTTCTCTTATGGATCAAAGCTTATTAATCAAATTGTCATTCAGGAGCCGGTTTTACAAACACTGTCAGAATCATCACTGCTGCCTAAACAGAACGACTCAACAGTTGATTAATAAATTAAATGAGTGTTAAAGTTGCTCTAGTTTTGAATGATTTCTAAGATATAATTGTAAGTTTTGCATATTTAAACGATAGTGGATGCATTTTACTAAAGTTTAATGAGTAATAATACATGCCTTGTATTTTCATCATGGGTTGTAGCAACCTGTAGTACTTTTATACTGTGAATAAAGTTTTTTAATTTATGACTACTGCTTTCAATATAATCCTCATACAAACCACTCATACACAAATATCAAATCAATACAAAGTAATAAATATAAACAACAGCACAGCGGAATACGACCGATCGTTTACATGGGCAAAACGCTTGAAGCTTTTTCACGTACGCAGTTTCCCGTACGTAATAAGCCGTCGAGCTCCTGGAGCAGCTCTTCGATCTAACATGAATGTATTTGAGTAGACGATATATCGACTTTTGTTGAGCGTTTTGATTGAATAAATGTTTGAATTTCGAACGATCGACTTCTGAAAGATGACTTAATCGCAATATCGACTTTTCTTGTTACACTGTCGTTGCCCATTATGGTTTCATTAAGATTCTATCCTTCCAGCGTTCTTTATGATTATCAGGACGTGAGAGGCTTTTGGTGGTTGTAAGCTTTCGTATTCCTTCTCAGGCAAGTCTTTTCGCTTTTTAACTGATGTGTGTATAAACAATCATTGTTTTATAGGAAATGGCCGCCATTGGTGGGGGCGCAGGTATGACGGAAGTTGATAACTCGGATACCATGCAGCTGATACGGCAGGTTTTGATTATATCATTCTTTGCATGCTTCAATAAAACAATACTCTAGGCTGTGCTGTTTGAAAATGAAGAGTTGCTTTATGATTTGTTGAATGAAAACCCACAAGCTATTTATAAGGTTGATAGACATGGCAGAACTCCTCTTATGCTAGCTGCACATAATGGCAGAGCACATAGCTTACAAGTTTTATTAACATTATCACCCGGTCTGTAATAAAACTGAAAACAAACCTGTCTATGACCACGTTTAGAAACTTTACAATTGGTTAATGGTGCTGGAAAAACTGCTCTACATCTTGCAGCTGAGGCTGGCGAGGTATGATTTAAAAAAAAATTATGGCACCAACAGTTTTTATAGGCCACATGTATAAAAGTGTTATTGGACGCTGGATCGGATTTGTATTTACGGGACGAAGCTGGACATTGTGCTCTTGAAGCTGCGCAAATAGCCGGTCATGAACAAGCTGCTGCTGTTCTAATTGAGGCTATTCGTTAGTCTACCTCTAATGTTCATATTGAGAGTTCTCAAATTTTTAGAAACTGAGAATGAACGTGTCGAGTCTGATCATAAAAAACTCATTTCTGCTTGTATAGAAGGGAGTTTGAGTGAAATAGATGAGGTAAAACTTCCTTTAGTATTACCTCTTCAATCATTGTTTCAGATACTGTCCGGGAAGTCAGAAAGGGTGCGTGAGTATGTGATCAACGGCAAGAATGCAAATGATGAAACGGCTCTCTTTGTGTAAGTGGAGCGATTTCAATTACTATCAATTGTAATTTTAGCTCATGCACGCATGGTCAGTTAGAAGCTGTACAGAAACTTTTAACTTATCCAACTTCGCATGCTCTGGTTAATCACCAAACTAAAGACACAGTTTTGCATGCCGCTGTTTCTTCTCAGAATTTAGATGTCTTAGCGATAATCCTAGGGGTGAATCACTGCTCTCTATATTCATACTCACATTTTTTTAGAAGTTCCCAGCACTTGTTGCTAACTTCAATTGTGATAATTGCTCATGTTTACATTGGGCAGCAGAAAACGGAAACATCGAAATTCTAAAAAAGTAAGCTTCACAAAAATACCTAGCTAAGACGAGTGTTCAGGTTGATGGAATATGATTATCCTGAAAATTTAATGAAAGAAATTGACATGGTTTCTGCACCACCTTACAAATTCGTTATCGACGTTAATCAAGGAGATATTGAATGTAGAACACCATTCTACTTAGCAGTTGCTAAGGGTCATCTAGAAGTTGTTCAGTATATGCTCCAGGTAATATATATATATATATATATATATATATATATATATATATATTTCTTTTTTCTCTATTCTTTGAAATTTGTTGCCGACTACGAAAGTCAACCTTTCCACGTTTTTCACGTAATTTGTTGTTTACTTTATTATCACGTAATTTTCACGTAAAATTTTGAAGTGCATTTTCTTTTCACTAAAAATAGACCCGGTTGTAGACCAGACCGTCGTTAGAAAAAATTTAATTATTAATATTTTTTTCTTTAATACTTTGAAATTTTAGTTTCGTTGTGGCTTCCTAGATGGATCTTCTAGATGTCCTTTCCAAATAGATGTCTACTGTAACAGAGGTCGAACTCCTCTGATGATTGCAGCTTTCAATCAAACCTTTCCTTTACTAACGTTAGTGTCTCATCACAACATCCAATCGAAACTATACTTTTAGTCATCTTATTGAAAGTGGGGCTGATATCAACTTACCATTGGCAGTTCTGGAATCGGATGTGAACGTAGAGGAAGCAAGATGTGTAGGTAGGTTCAAAAGACATTTTATATTTTTCGATAAATTAATGCAATGAAAATAATTTTGAGAATTTCAACCGTTGTTGCAGGCTCTGGAGCTCTAGTTGAAGCAACACGTGCTGATGCTGTTCACATTGTGCATTATTTACTGGATAAGGGAGCTTTAGATACTGATAATAGAGCATTAACTTTAGCTGCATCGGTTATTATTTTGCAAGAATCATTGGAGTATAATCAGTTTTTTTCCAGAAAAACAACGAAAAGCTTATCCGAGTTTTTCTAACCCGTTTAGTTTTTCCTGACTCCGAGTATAAAGTGAACAAAAGAAATGTAGATGTCGGACAGGTATCCGCTAAGATTATTAGTGTCGAATGTATGTATTCTACAGATTCAATTCGGACAAAGTTTACTCCCTTCTGCATTATGCCCTTCGAAATCAGCGATGCTCAACTGGGGTTCTTCTGGTTTAGAAAATGTCCAATCTGATTGGTTTATTGCTGCAGCATTACAGATAAATCCTAGGCTGAGAACTACAAGGTTTGTTCTATTATTTATCCATACCAAACTCATTATCTTCAGACTGTCTCTGGCCGCGATAACAAGGGTCGATCTTTCCTGTAACAATCTGACTATTTTCCCTTCCGTTCTCTTTCAAATGCCATCTCTAAGGTTTGGATTTCCTACGACTTATCCTATTTTCTAAGTCTATTCAGATTACTAAACCTATCAGAGAACAAAATAAAGAACATTGATCTCCCTTCATACTATATTAGCTCTACTTGTTTAGAAAATCTGAACTTAAAGTCCAATCTCATGGAAAGCATATCACCTAATGTAAACCTTAAATATTTTAAGCAAGCTTGAAAATAATTTCAGTTGTTACTCGCCCTTCCAAAGTTATCCAATCTCGATATATCTCATAATCACTTAACTTGCTTACCAGAGTTCATTTGGTTATGTCCTTCCCTTAAAGTAAGTTTCATTATGATAGGAACGCAGAAACGAAATATTTTTAGGAGTTGAATGTGTCTTGTAATCAATTGTCTTCATTACCTGTAGTTGGAGCATCTCGTGGTAGAGGTAGTAGCAGGGTCCAACAGGGAATCATGCAGCATAGCGCTTCCAGTTCAGCTCACAATGATCAATGAAACTTATCATATTCATTCAGCTACTACTGTCGATGTTTCCGATTTACCAGAGAATGTTGAAAGCAGAGCACTACTGAGGATAAATGTGTGGCAAGAGAAAATCAATTTGTCCAAGGTTTGTGCTCACACTCAAGAATAACATCAAGAGCATATTTAAAGGTTGATGATGATGATCTGTTTCCTGATTTCCCAGTCACCTCTTCGAATACTTTGACTACTCTGAACCTATCGGGAAACAAGGTAATATGCGAACATGCAAATATGATCAACTGTTCTATTTTTTTTTAGTTTCAAGCATTTCCTTTGTGCTTGGCTTGCACCTGCCCACGCCTAACTACACTGAATATATCCGATAATCAGTTGGCAGTTTTGCCTCCTGTATCATGCATACCACCTCATATTAGGAACTTGGATATTTCAAACAATCAATTGAAGGTGTGATGGTCTCATTTCTCGGTTCCCATTATTTTTTGATTTCAAGGAAAGTTTCCAACAAGCTTCCACCTTGTATAATGTTTGCCACGCTGTTCCACCATCGCAAAATAGCGGAGGAGGATTTGTCAGACGGAATAGCCCACAGCGTCATCATCGTTAGTTCTCTGATGTGTCTTATACTTTCACCGCTTGCTTAGGTTCTCGTTCAAAATCCGCTGTACGTAGTCAACGCTCTCTATCGGTCTCCAGGAATCAACAGCCAGACGGCTGTTTAGAGGATGCTTGTGTTCATAAAAGACATGATTCTCTAGCTAGGTTGAAAGTTCTCAATTTGAATAATAACAAATTGAGTTCATTCTCTGTTGTTCTCAATGGGAAGGTAATTTTACAGCCTTTCTTCATCTAATACAGTATATTATCCAGCTGTTGCTTCCTTCTGTTACCGTGATTGAGATAAGCAAAAACATCTTGAAGAATATATCACCCGAACTTTCTAAGCTAGCAACACTCTCAGTTCTGAACTTGAGCCAGAATAAAGATATCAGAGAGCTACCACCTGAACTAGGAATGTTATCTAGGCATGTTCTTGTGGCGCCAGGAAAACTGTTTTAGTTCCTTTTCAGGCTGTGGTCGCTTTCTTTGAAAGGATGTAGTTTGAAGGAGCCCCTCGATTCTATGGTCAACACTGATAACTGCAAAACTGTTGAAATCGTTGCTTACTTGAAAACGATTTTAGAAGAATCCAAAACTTTCCGTCATCTGAAGCTTATGATTCTAGGAGAAGAAGGAGTCGGAAAATCGACTTTGTGGGATGCTTTTAGAGCGGAAGGTGTCCAGAAAAGACAAGTGTCACAGGTGAGCAGGAGTTTTTCTTCGACATGATTAACCCCTCGTTTTAGGGTGAAAGTGTAAGATTTGTAGAATGGAAGTATGAAGCAAAAAGAAACAAAAACGATCCAAACCTTGGACCCGTGGGGTTCGCAGCTCTGGATTACATTGGACAGGTTTTTTTTCTAAGTGGTGTCAAGCATTTTGGAACATTTAGCGCGAGTACTTTGCAACCCATCCTTATTTTACTACAAGGAGGAGTGTGTTTGTAGTTGTATGGAGGGTTCCTGATGGTGAAACAGCTTTTCCAGACATCCAGAAATGGCTTGTTAGCATTCAGGTAGTGCTAGAAACTATTAAATGGTTTCAAATATTATCTGTTCAGGCACGAGCTCCTAATTGTTGTGTTATTCTCGTTGGAACCCATGTGGACCAAGTGGGAGCAAATCCTAACAGATTTCCCTCAGGTTTTCTGGAAGACGTTGAAATGAAGGTTCCCATTTATCCTTAGTTTTGTTCTTAGTACAGTTCTTTTAGGTCCGAAGACGTTTCATGGTTTCAGACTCGGATAAACGTGGACTACCAAAAATCATGGACCTCTTGTTCATTAATGCTAAAGTCAAGCAGGAGATAAAAGTTAGAAACTGTCTTTGATTCTCATCATACTTCTCATACAGACCTTACTCAACGTGATTTATAAGTCAGCTTGGGAAGTGAGAGTTGGAAAGGAAAGAGCTTTAGACCAGCAAATCCCATCGTCGTACATAGCTATGTTCAAGGTTTGGTTCAAATAAACTGTGAAAATTATGTATGAACTTAAAGGTTGTGAGAGATTGGGCTGCAGACTGTCGTAAAGAATCATTAACATCATGCTGTTCCATTGAGGATTTTAAAGAGAATGTCAAGAAGAGAATGGTTGCAAAGTTTGGTCGGTTCTTCAGGTAACAAAAGCAATATTAATATCCCAATATATATCATTGCAGAGATGATATCGAATTTCACGCTGCTTGTTCATTTTTACATGATTGTGGAGAAATAATTCATTTTGAAGACGCTGCTCTGCGACAAGTTGTGTTTATAGACCCGGTTTGGCTAGCTGATTTCCTCGCACGTTGCGCTTCCTTACGGTTAAATTGTGATGCGTTCCTATATTTGATGTATGGAATTTAGAGCATCTAATCTGCCGATTGGGCTCATAACCCAAGAAACTCTGCACCCCGTTAGCAAACAACTAAGATCTCATTTACGCTCGTCTCTTCTGGATTTACTACACAAATTTGAGCTCGCTCTGGTTTGTCATTCTAGACAGCTGATATTACCTTCACGTTTGCCTGATGAATACCGCTTACGGTCAGATTATTCTGGTTCGAGTGTCAAGGTGCGTCGAGAATTGCTTGAGAATAATATACTGTTCTCTTACAGTTACCTGCTAAAATGAATTCTTGGCAAATACGTAATCCAACATCGTCTAAATATCTTTTCAATGCCACGAAGCCTCCTCTCGAAAGAGGTGGAAGTTTAGATCCTCTTGCAGCTCCTGATGTGATGTTCAACTTTTGTTATGAGAAAAAGCATCAACTGAGGCGACTGTATGTTATGGCTTATGTTCCAGCTGGTTTTTGGAGCCGTTTAATGACTAGGTCTTTCCTTAGGAAACATGACGTTCACTTTTTTAATCTTCAGAATTATGGGTGATCAAAATGTTTCGCGAGCAATAGAAAGTTTATTCTCAGCGGAGAGTGTAGAGGAAGAAAAGTTATTAGGCGATACAGTCAAGAAGCATATCAAGGTTGAATGGTTAATTTGGAAGACTGGTATAGAGCTGCTCGTTAAAGGACATTCTGTTTTTGTTTTGAAACAGTTTTGCTCACAGGTTTGCAAGTTATATCCTTACTCAGTTAATTGGTGTTCAGGCTGAAGTAAGAGATGTCGACTATTCATCTCTGGTAATACAAGTCAGAGATGATCAGAAGCGTTGGTGCCCTTTTCCTCTGAGTGATTGGACTACGATCGAAATGTTGTTCCCTTCATTGATGTGCGATACTTCCATTCTTATTTTACTCATTTTTTTCATTTCAGCATAACGTCTATCCAAAGTGGTGGATCTAAAGCAACTATGCGCTCTGACGTCGAAGGGCGTACTCGACTCTGTGCTCTAATAGCTGATTTGGTTGATACTCTACTCGAAGATTGGTATGAAGTTGATACGAACTAAACTATTAGGCAAATTAACTTTAGGTATCCTGCTCTGGGAACAAGATTTGTGCATTCGAGTGAGGGTGTTCTATTGGTTAATCGCTTAGTTCCTTGTTACAAATGCGTTGACGATCACATTGCGGTGTCAAGAAGAACACATGATGACAACGACGTCGCAATAGTGAAACGAGAAGAAAGGTTCTATTTAGCAGAAGGTTATCATAGTGAATAATGTTGTCTTTAGCTTTATAAGAGCATCGAAAACATCTGGAGACATGAAACACATTGGCATCGTCAACTGCTTCACAATAGAAGAGTGCATGTTAGCTGGAAGAGAAACACGTGCTCTGGATTGTCCATCACACGGAGAAGTCCGTTGTCGTGATATTGCTCCTGATACGGTATAAATCTGAATCAACTTGGCTCTAAATGTAGTTATTCGTATTTTCAGGTTTTCGCAGATATAGAATCTTCCCTACTCATTAATGAAAGTCTCCTCAAGCAAGGACGAATGTTAGGACGCGGTGCATTTGGTTTTGTTTTTAGAGCTACTGTGAAACTTCGGGTAAAACAATGTTGAATATAACATCCTATCTGTATTTACAGACTGGTGAACTGAATGAAGTAGCACAGAAAATGCTAGAACCCGTCGATCCGGGACCTTCTGGAAAAACTTCGGCTATTACAGCTTATAAAGTAAGTGAGAGCTTAGTTTCTTTGCTCAAACGCTGTTCACTCAGGCTGCTGCGGATAAGTGGCGCAGAGAAGCTTTGGAGTTCGCATGTAGAGCCTACTGTACATCTCGACAAGAATTGAATCTCCTCTGTAGGATGAGACATCCAAACGTAATAGGATTGATAGGGGTAGTTGGTTTTCAGTTTATTTTTCCATACTTCTGTTTTGAGGTTTGCGTGACACCTCTATCTCTTGTGGTGGAGCTGGCTCCATTAGGAGCTCTGAATCAGTTACTTTCAAGTCATAAAAAAAGCGGTGCAAAGCTATCTTTACCGGTTATTCGTGAATCTGCCATGCAAGTTGCACGGGCTCTTGAATATCTTCATCTAGCTCATATTATTTATCGTGATTTGAAAAGTGAAAACGTTTTGGGTTGGCGTTTCCCTACACCTTTCAGTAATCAAACTGATGTGTTGTTGAAACTAGGGGATTACGGTTTGTTCAACGATCTGTTCCCTGAATAATTCCACTCTTTAGGTATATCACGATCAGTCCTCCCATCGGGTGGAGCGAAAGGTTTTGGTGGAACGGAAGGATTCATGGCTCCCGAGATTGTACGATTCAACGGTGAAGAAGAATACACCCAAAAAGTACAGAGATTTTTAAGTACATACAAAAGTTTTATGTTTCAGGTTGATGTGTTCTCTTTTAGTATGTTTTTGTATGAGCTGCTAACTCTCAAACAGCCTTTCGAAGGAGAAGAGCATGTTAAGGAACGATTATTGGATGGAGCTCGACCTGTATTATTGCCTCACGTATTTTGCAAAATTCAATATTTAAGGTCATTCAAGCTTTTCAGGAACTGTTGGTTCCTTGCTCGATGTTAGACTTATTAGTTCAATGTTGGGACACGCAACCAGAGGGACGTCCTTCTTCTTCTCAGGTTGTTGGATTCTGTTCAGCTCCTGAGTTCAGTCATATATTGGATATATGCGAGCTAGAAGGTGTTGTAGAATAAATTAATCATACTATTTGAAATTTTCTTATAGACGTTGCTCCTATCAATATATTATCAGTTCCTCTAGTGGATGACTTGGATGATCCGGAAGATTTTGAAGCTCAACTGTGGTTGAGTGGCCTAAACTTGACTGTAATGTCTTGCACTCAATATGCTTGGGTAGATCAAAAAGTGCGTTTACTATTTGTTAAATAATTGTACAACCGGAGGGTTTAGGCTATCAAACATCCAACTAAGTTCAAGTTTCTCTCAAAAGTCCGTGAAACCATCTGGGCTTGTGAGGAGAATACAAGTGACGTCGTGATGTTCACATCATCTCTACATGAAGCAGGAAGACTACAGCTGCCTTCTTTGGGTTCACCACTGGTTAGTCTTGAATAGGAAGCATTGTTCTTAATCATCATTTAAGGTCAAACCACCGGAGATCATTGGCAATGAGATATTACTATTGGTTTGCCAACATGAACTTATTTTGCTGCAGCTATCTCCTTCGAACTCGGTTGCTTTGAAAGGAAACATGCGTTCTCAGAATGCCATAACAACTTCTGTGTTTGTGGCTGCCAATTCCTATAGGTAAATTCTATCTGTTCATTCATTCTCCTTTATTAATATTTCTTATCTTTCCAGGCAGATTTGGACAGGGCATGCTGAGGGAAGAATAACCATTCATAATTTGACTGCTGATGATGTATTCTCTTTCTCTTCATCTCTATACTTGCGAGAAACCGATGTCACTATCAAAGAAATGGTTTCTAGTAGAGATGGAGCTTATGTTTGGATATCTTTCGTGAATGGTATAACGAAAAAGAAAAAGTAATCAGAAGCTACTTAAATATTGTATTCAGATTCTCGTATTTACTGTTTGGATGTAGAAAGACGCCAAGTGAATGCATCTCTGGATGTTAAAAAAGTTGTCCCGGGTATCCGTTGCAAATTATCGCTATTTACAATTTCATATCTTTAAGGGAGTGAAACTATTTTCTCTATGGATATGGAAGTATCGTCATGCAACAATGTAACTTGTATGTCTCTTCTTGAACGTTCTGAGGGCTTACAACTTTACATTGGAACTACTAAAGGACTAATGATTGTAGTTCAAGCTATAATGGTAACACCAATAATACAAATGAAAAATGAGAGGACGAATATACATTTCAGCTACAACCTATAAGTGCCTGTCGTCCATATTCACATGAAATCAGTTCAATATGTGTAGTAGAAGGTCCCCGAGATGAGGACTCTTCCAATCGAGGAAGAGGGAGTTTATCAACTGCTTCATCAGATGGAAGTCTTGGTTGGGTTCGGGAAAGAGTAAGTGAAACTATAGAGAGGCTCAAGATCACTTCGCCCGTTTGCACCGCGAGTGCGAACGCTTTAGTCGCTACCGTGGGAAAAGGTTTTAGGTTCGTTACCACGATGCCGGAGTTTGAGAAAACTTTCTTGATTTAGAAGTTTATCGCATCGATTCGTATCTGAAAGGCCGTTATCAGATTTATACAGTATTGCTATTTGGAGAACAGATGACTGGGCCTAATGATTTCTTTCCTTCTGATCTCACCCCTGTAGCTAGTCGTTATTCAATTTAATCTTGCCATTTGTACATTGTATATATTTTGTATGTATTTATTCAATTTTTATTGGGTTTACCTTTACAACACAGGTCCACTTATACTGCATACTAGTCGAGCTTGTATGTATTCCATTGTTTCTTATATCACTTATAAAAGCTTTCTACTTTCTATTCTGGAAGACTTCATCTCCCTTTGCTTCCTTTCCGTATCTCAAAATGTTTTCACCGTGTCATTTACAATAATTTTGGCTTAGGATGCGGCTGTATTTTAATAATTAGCGTATGGCCCGTGAACCGGCCACGTGAAACTCACGTGGCGTGGCGTTGAGCAATGTTATTCAAAAAATTAAAATCAGTTTTCCGGTCGCTTTCCCGCTTGCTAGGAAAATTTGATGAAAAGAAAGATACGCAGTACACATGAGGAGAAGAATAATGCTTCTCTATGGCACGTAAGTTTAATATATTAAGCGGGTAAAGTTTAATTATAGATAACATTACGTATAATACAAGGAAGAGATTTACCAAATGGCAAGTTACGCATTAGAGCCATGCTTCAAGAACAACAGAAGGCTACTCGTCTCGCAATGGAGTCAAACCCAGTATGGAAGCAAAACCTAGCTTTCACATTGTGTGAGATGGACTCCGCTAATGTTTCCGAACAATTCATTAACCTGAAAGTTTGTGAACATCATAATGATATCATCATGTTTTGTAGTTGACGAAAGCCTCGAAGTTTAATGAGAAAGCCATAGCTCACTGGGAATTACCATTATCTTCTATAATGGAGTTGAAAGATCGTACTCTTGATTCAAAGTGGATAGGTTTACGTAGTTGCAATGATGGAGATCAAGAGGATCATTGCGGATTCCTAAAAGTATCTCGCTTTTCTTTACACGTGATGACTTCAGCTTGCATAGGTGTCAGTGTCTATCCAAAATGGGCTGGAGAGCCCAAAACCTCTGGTGGATGATCTCAGCTCTCACGACGTTTGGTTCACTTCAGCGCAAGAACATTATAGTTTAAGGGTCTAAAATAGAAGACACTAATTGGTATATCTAATTTCTCCTCTTATAGTTCCGACTTTTCCGTATCACCCATTTGGCACCTGACGTGATAGATATGTTCAAAAAGAAAAAAAAACTTTTTGAAAAAGTTTTTATTGAGGTATTCATCTACTGTCTGCGTCATATATCGTTTTCAGGTTTCTGCTGGGGAGCAGTCTATAAAAACTGCTCTTTTTGAACTCGGTCATGCTGATTCGCCTGATCACTATTTTGAAATTAAAATGAATCAAGATTTATTCTTGTGTTTTGTGTGGCCTTCTGTTCTATCGAAGGTCGGGTGACCCGTTCTGTTTTGTAACTTTCGTTCAGATTGCACTCAGATTCTATGGAACCCAAGGCAAATCTACAACTTGCTTGGCAGAGGTATAATCATAATGATGAACGAACATGTTCTGGAGTTTGCAGGCTAACATCAAGCTTCAAGATATATATAGAATTGGAGAGAATGGATTCATGCCATTATTCGGACCCAGCTTTATAAATTTCCATTACAGCGCTTCTACAGGCATGGAATCACATAATTATAAGTACTTCGTTTCATCAGTTCGAAGAAAACTAGTCGAATTTTCAGATATGCCTTACGTCTCCATTGCTCTATAGACACAGTTGATTACACAGTATCCGAAGGATCCAAGGGCATTACTTCAAATGCTTCTTATTTCAATACTGGAAAACATATCGTAAACGTTTTTTTGTTTTTTCTTGATAAGGTTGAAGTTATAATTTGCAGAAAGACGATTGTTATACCTTGTATTGCGCATTCAGCACTTGTAATCAGATCAACCCGTTGTTTGGCTCTAACAGTATATCGTTCCATGTTTCTATGGGACAATTTGGCAGTGTCGGGATGAACAATCGGTCTGTAAACTGTTGTACAATTGGGGTAGGTGAACACTTAAAGTAAAACTAAACTGGTGAGCATCAAGACTATGCCCGTGACGGATGAGTACAGGTACTTCTCCATGCCTTGGGGTAATCACAAGCCTGTAGCCAAGTTCGAATGTTTTTTTGAAAATATTGAATATCGTATGCATCAGAGCAATGCCATTTTGAAGGTTCTTTTTGTTTTATTTTGTTTTCAAGAGATTCTCATCTCAGGTTAGCGATATGTTCAGCCAGATGTTGAAGTTAATACAAAAACGTAGTCAAAATGATGCAGCTTTAGCGTCATCCTATTTCATTGAGTCCTTAGAGCATGCCAGACATATTATGAAGAGATTGGAATTGAATCAGTTAGTGAGACCATTTTTTCTAAAACAGAAAGTTCAATCCAGATTAGAGAAGATCAATAATGATTTTGATAGAAAAATAGAAAACTTCAGAAAACACTCTTTCGAGCTGGTATGTTCCATCTATGACTTAACAATGTCCATTTCATTAAGATATTAAAAGAGATAAACTCATTGAGAAGTTTATCGGTTGAGAACATTGATGCTGCTACTCAAGAAGCGGGCCGTGCAATTACTCAACTTAATGAGACATTGAAAAGTTTGGCTCGAGATATTCAGGTAGTATTTTTTAAAGTATTCTAATTCCCTCCTCTAGATGTCTCTGCCTGATATTACAATTCATATGGTTGCCGATGGTAAAGTAGTCGGCTATTCCCGTGTACCAGTACAAGAGGTACAACTAACACGAGTCTCTCAGAAAAGTTTCATCAGGTTCTTTATCATCCAAACGATGCATATCGAGGCTTAGACTGTGGCAGAGTTCGACCTCTTCGACTTAAATGGGTAACAAATAGCAGTAAATATAATCGTCTAGAAGAAGTGAGGTTCAAATAACTTACATGATCGTTACACATATTTTCTAGTTTGTTGGTATACTCCACGCCAAAATTTGGTTTGGAAACTCAGCTCAAATAGCCAATCTACGGATGTTCACTCAACCGGGAGAACTGAAATGTTTCGATGAGATATTTCAGTATGAGGTAGGTTGCCTCTGGAACACCTGGTTGCAGCTCACTCTACAGAAAAAATCAGTAACCAAACAATGGGATAGTTATGGACCAGAGTTTACTGATGAAGAATGTGCATCATCAACGAAAGAGTTCGTTCGATCGGTTGGTTTCTTTAAAAAATAGAGGCTGATCAAAACTCATATTTTTCAGGGCAATTGGATGGTTAAAAAAACTCAAGAAATGTGGATTTCAGCTAACGTCAATACTCCGGCCACTGTGGTGGACAAGATATATGAACTGCAAGAGAGGATAGATGGAAAGTTTGTGACGTTTTATGTATGTAGATTAGAAAACTGTTTCAAGATGGGTCGACAGAATGAACACCGATTACTTCGGAACGAAGATATGCACAACTAGCCCACCGAAAGGTTTTTAATGGTTACATGACACGAAACTTGACAACGCTACTTCAGGTTATGAATATAAAGGGAAGTTCCATATAGACCCTCATACAAACAAAGGTGATCAAAATGGTTGGCTTTATTCGTCTCAAATGCAATTTTGGGGAAACACAATATTGGATAAGAATGACAGGTTACTGTTCTATGTTTTGGGCTAATTGAAGTGAATTCTTCGTCCAGACCTTGTTATCGCTTTCGAAGACGTTGTCTCACACGAATTTGCAAAAGAATAGTTTCAAGCAGCAAAACTCTTGAAGAATTTAAAACAGAGTTTCCTCATCAAGAATGGGAGGTGATTACGGTTGACAGCGAAATCTGCTTCTGAATGATTATTTTTTGAGTACTCGAGAGGGATCTCATTGGCTTATCACTCTACCGATTTGAACGATGCAAATTACCGTCGACGGATTTTCTTCGTTGAGCAGGAAGATGAGTGAGTTTTGTTAGAACTATTCGGTGAACATTGTAACTTATTTCAGACGTAGTAAGGCACTGCCACGAATGTTTGAGATTCATAACTGCACAACAATTTGGCAACTACGATGCTACATATTGTGGGCAAAAGTACGTTCCTGCTACAGTTCGTCATTATATTTCCCATTTTAATAGGATTTGCTACCGTTGGTTAAAGATACAGTTGGTCTCTTTGTTCGAATCACATTTTTGCATCGAACTACCCAAACGTTAGTCGTCAGTAAGTCGCAAAATCCTATCTGGAACGAAACTCTGCTTTTTGACAAGGTATGATATAGGGAATCAAGCATGGAATATCATAACTTCAGTTTCCAATTCCTGGAGCAATTCATGAAATTTGTTTAAATCCCCCTATAATCAATATAGAAATTCGTGGTGAGAAAGCTGATAATTCTGAGGTGATGATCCACTATCAAACTGTTATAATATATTTTCAGTTGTTCCTTGGAAGTTTCCAAGTTTGTCCCACCGTTGTGGCAGATGCTTTAGATGAACGTGCCAAACTTGAGTGGAACTTGCTAATGTATCAGAAAGAAAAAACAAAGTACTTTTCTAACTTGTTTATAAAACTCTTATTGATTTAGGGGATCCCTTTTATCATCTTTTGAGCTGTTTCACACTAGCCAAGCAAGTAACGTCACTCCCAACCTGCCAACAAAGAAAAGCTCCCAAAAGTTCTGCTCGTTGTAGGCTTGAATTAATTGAATAATTTAGAGCCCGATTTGATATTCCACCTGAAATAAAACCGAAGTTCCAGCGATATGCAGTTCATATTCTGTGTTGGGGCCTCAGAAATATCACCAAAAATCTGGTAGAGGTCAAGTGTGAAATTTAAATTTTGGCTTTTACAGAAAGTACGGAAGCCATTTTTGAAAATATTGGTTGGAAATCGAGATTTCAAAACGGACGTTATTCATAACTTGAATATCAATCCGAACTTTCCGGAACCCATAATCACGTTTCCAGAAGTAGGGCTTTGATTCAATCTCGTATTAAATCTTTTCTAAGGTTCACTTACCTCAATCATTGGAGTTGTCGCCTCCGATTGTAATCAACTTGTACGATTCCCAGTCTTTTGTACGTCAACGTCTGTTGGGTGTGTGTCAACTCTCGAAGTATGATAGATATATCGTTCCAACTAAAACAGTACGTTTTGCTGACCTGAAAAGTGAGACTTTTTACCGTATTCAGCAATCCCGAGATCTTCCACAGTCCACTTGGAAAGATTTCGATGAAGCAGTTCGCAAAGATACTGATAAAGACGAAACGCTTATGAAACTACAACCAGCTAAGGTGGGTGCATTAAAGCGTATCTGTTGCGATTCTCCAATCACTGAACATTGATAGGCTGAAACCTTCGATTGGTGGAGTAAGTACTATGCCTCTCAAGGGGATACGGAAAAAGCTCCGCAATATCTCGAGTTTGAAGGCATTGTTTTCATTTCAAACCTTTATACTCAGGTCTGGTGCAGAAGGATTGAACGTTTTGGATTGTAGCCTTGAAGACCATTATGGGCGGAACGGTTTTATTGAATTTCTTGACCGCTTCCAGTTCATACGTTGTCAAAAAGTGAGAATACTTGGAGCAGACTGTATATGACTCTCATTTAGGTTGTGAAAGACTACGATGACATTGAGTTCATGGGAGAGCTTAAAGGGAAGATATTCATCAATCCATTCACTCATAAAGACCAAGGTTTGCACGCTAAGCAAATCTATTCCGACTTTTTCCAGAGACAATTGATCCACCAAGTGTTGAGTTTATGGGTCCCGTGAAATGTTGTGTTCGTGTTTACATTATTGAGGCAAACGATCTCGTTTCTGTTCGAACAAATGGTCTTATCAATCCGTACATTGTAGTTCAATGTGGAGATCACCAGGTGTCAACCTTTGATTCTTAATTTATACTCTTCTTCATAGCAAAGCTTTCGCGAGTTTTATCAACCTGACTCTTCCAATCCAGTGTTCGGACAGTCAGTAGAGTTACAATTGACGGTTCCGGTACAAAAAGATCTTCAAATTCATGTTCTCGATCGCCATAGCTTATTCGCTGGTTTGTCGTGAAACTGAAATGAGTCTCAAAATTATACGAACAGATGAAAGAATTGGCACAACTTCCATTGATCTTGAAGATCGTCTGTTCAGCAAATGGCGGGCTACAGTTGGACTACCTTGCCAATACAATACGAGAGCTGCTTCTGTTTGGAGAGATCAAATGAGTCCAATGGAAACTTTGAAAAAGTACTTCGAATCCTTCTCTAATTTTTATGTAAATTTTCAAGATATTGTGTGAAAATGGAAATACCCGAACCGAAGGTTATTGAATCAGATGGAGATATTGGTTTAGAAGTTATGGGATGTACACTGTGGTATTCCAAAATCGAGAATGACTTTCTTCAGTTTGTTTGGTTTTTTAAACACTTATCAAGAAAGTTTTAGAAATGACAGTTTGCTCAAAAGGAGATGGGTAAACAGAGATAAGGCTCCATCTGAAGTAAGTAACAGAAAGTGATTGAAGTAGTTATTCATTTATAGAGCTGTACTCATTCTCCAAAGTGTACAAGCCAGTTGTGCATATCTAGTTTGCTGAAGGTATTTTACTTGCTCATGATCTTCACCTGTTTATAACTTCGAAGAGTGGAACAGTTTCTAAGCCATTAGATCGTGATCAGCTGATCGAAACCCGTTGTTTTAACAGAAAGAAAAGGCTTGGGAGTCGTCTTCAAAACGTAGCTTTACATGTTTTAAATTCGGTTTGCACATTCTCTTCTCAGCTATTCAAGTTAATCTGAATCGTAGATGAAACTTGTACCCGAACATGTTGAAACCCGAACTTTATATTCTCTGCTATCAGGAAATCGTGCATGCGGCCGCTTACGAATGTTTGTTGATATATTTCCGGTAGTAAATTACTGTTGGTTACATTAAGTAAGCTTATTACGTCAGATGGATTACGGGCCAGTTCCACCTCCTATCGATATAACGCCCAGAAGACCTCTCGACTATCAGATCCGTGTTTGTATCTTCAATGTTGCCAATCTAATTCCCGTTCGAGAGAGTTTCGGACAACCAGTGAAGCTATTTTGAATTTAGTACTCTAACCATTTCTTTAGATCACGGATCTCTACGTAAAAGTTTACATGAACCAATCCAATGATATCGAGAGGACAGACGTTCATTACAGGTACTTTATATCGATGGACATGCTTTGAGATTTGTGATTCACAGGGCCGATGGATATGCTGAGTTCAATTGGAGATTCGTATATAACATCAAGTTTGATCCATACGAGAACAAAATCATCAATTCTGCAAAGTCAGGACTGTTCGGGTAGATAGTTTTTGGAGTTGTAAACATTCGTTTTGATTGTAGGAAAAAGAAGGAGACTTTAGTAGACCCAGTACTTATAGTTGAGTTGTGGGATAAGAGAAGGTTCAAAGAAGACACAAAGATTGGCGAAATGCATTTTGATATTACGAATTTCAAAGGTCAAAATAGTCATGCTCTAATTTGAGTTGCCATTTATAGAAGGTTACACAGATCCTCATCAAATATTGAGCTTAAAAAACCGAAGAAGACACTGTTGTACTCCTAGAATGTGCGTCTGCAATGTGACGTGTTGTATGGCATCCTGTAAAAATAAGAAAAATAGAGCGCTTCCAGGAACAGTAAGTATATAATAAATGATCCCGACAGTGATTGCTTATCTAGCCTTTCGAAGTTAGTGAAGACAGCATGAAACTATCTCTTCTCGAAACTGATGTGTGTCGTGGATGGTGGCCAGTAGTCACCAATATTAAACCCGAAAACGTGAGTTCGATCACATTAGCTCAATAAATGGTATTCCTCTCAGAACGGTGCTCTTAAAAAGAAAAACGACGATATTTCTCACGGATATATTGTGACAGGCTCGGTTGAGATGGAGCTCAGTTTGTTAACAGCCGAGGATGCTGCGCAAGACCCTGTCGGCAAAGATCGTAAAGAGCCCAATCATGTTCTGTTTTTTCGACTTCAGTTTCGTATTCAAATATTTTTTTTTACAGAGCCCTTATCTAGCAAAACCATATCGCTCGACGTGGAACACGTTCTATATCACATCGCGGTTTGTTACTTTTGATTGGCAACTTTCTGTAAATAGTTCTCTTCAAGCGTTCGTCCTTTCTTTGGATGGTGTTGTCATTCTTTCGCACCTCAAATCGTGCTTTGGATTATTATGGGCACTTTATTGTTCTTTACTATTTATGGTTTCCTGTCTAACTGGCCATTAGTTATTATCCAGTTGTTCGCATAATTATTTTTGATCGAAAACGTCTTCATTTGTTGCAACAAATTACAACGCATCATTCGTATGACCTCTACGTTGAGCATCATATACAGAGGGTACTGGGCTAGCACGCGAAATGCGCAAGAGAAACTCAAAATTTAGCTTTATTGCCTTAACTGTAGTTTTTGAACCGTTCAAAGCATTCAACTTTTTAAACTTGCGAAATCGGAGAGCTTTTTCAATGCTGCATGTGAACCTTAGTTGTTATGTTTGGAATATTTCAAATATCAATTATCTCGAACTGTCAACATTGATGTTTTCGTAGTTACCTTTCTCTGTTCGTTCATCGTTTTTTTTTGATTTTTCTATTCTAATGTTCATTTGCAGGTATTAAGTCCGTTATGAAAGAGTTTGGTATACCTAATAAAATTGTGATTGCCGGAACATCAGCTATGAAGCTGAATGATAGGTTGGTCTTTGTATAGTGGTTCTTCTCTGCTTGATTTCTCTTGATGATAAATCTGGTGGTTTGATTGCTCATCTGCTCTTGATTTGTCAAAACGAATGTGGTAAATCCTATGATAGTCGTGCTTGTTTGTATCACTCTTCACTGACGATTGTGGTAATGAATTATCAAGTTTTGACTTTTCAAGAGCTGTAAGTGTTGCATGACTAGTCCTTCTGATCAGCTGTAGTTTAGATTCTCAAATTTGCCTCCTCCTCGTAAGAATGTTATTCATGCAAAGCCTATGGATGCAATTGTCACTACTGAAGTTTACAACCCTTTTGCTCGTAGAGAGCAACAGCCGTTTCGCTTTCAAGAGGTTTTTTTCCGAAAATGAAAGGACCAATAGTGAAACTAAACTTTGTAGACTATTCCTAGGAGGCGTCTCAGAGGCTCTCAGAGACCTCAAAATTTTGCCTCAAGAATGCAGAATGTTCCTATCGGTATGTGCTTTTTTGACGTTGACTTGAAATGTTGAAATCTCAGAATCTAGGCTTTCGATACCTTTCCTCGCAAATAGAGGTAGACCTGTAGCTAGAGGAGGACGTGGAATTGGTAGAGGCATCGCACGTGGTAAAGTAGTGAAGACTCAAAAGTAGTTTACAATCCGTTGCTATTCAATAATCCTAAGTTGCAGTCCTGTAGTCTCCAATGAGGCAAGATCTGCGTTCAGAAACAGAGGACTTAATAACAAGCCTGCAAGACGTGGTGCAAAACCAATTAGGGGAAAGAAGCCTCAGGTTTGCATCTGTTGCATTATGATTTGAGTACTTCCTATGTTTAGAGCCAGAACGAAAATTTTGGATCAAAGAAATCAGTCGAGCAACTTGACCAAGAATTGGATGATTACATGCGTAAAAAGAAACATGCCCCTATCATCATCTGATCTCCATTTTGTGCAATACACTTGACAAGTTCTACCTTCAAAAGCATCATGTTTTATTTGCAAGCTTTTGCTCAACGTCGTCATCATCATAACCAAATATAATAATAAAAATTATCAAAGTTGTCAGGTTTCAATTTGAATTTTCTTCTGATTGGACGGTCTCCAATACCTTTTGGACAATTAATATTTGATCATCCCACATCCATTGGATTTCGGGGTGCGCCTGAACGAATAATTGATTTGTATAGATTACTGATATATTGTACCTTCTCTCTCTTTTGTTCGATACTGGGTAGGAGCTCCATCATCATTTTTTCTATTATTTCGTTTTCCCTAATCAGAGAATCGTCAAGTTCATCCTCATCACTGTCTTGAGAATGTTCTCTGTATACTATCTCTTGCCATTTGTCTCTGGAAGTTACCTTTGATTTCCAAAGGGTTCTTAATAAATAATCATTACAATTCTTTTTTATTCAGCAGAAGGATCCGAATGTTCGTACGGAAAGAGTATCCTGCACCTTCATCGCTTTTATAAAGTGTTCTGTAATATTTTAGATGGTCTCTTCTTCGGTTAGAATACTCACGTTGGCACGTCTGCTTCATAAATAACCCTTTCTAGTTTATCATGAATTTCAATTCCCGCATTGTGAGCCAGGACTAGGAATAAATCTGAACGAAGCTACTAATTTGAGAAGTTTTTCAGTGCAGCAGAACCTTTGGGTATGATTACTTTCCCATTCATATTGTTATCTATTACAAAACCATATTCGATGTACAAGCGGAGATTGTCGTGTGGACCATACGTAACGTGGAGCTGAAGAACTGGTATTGTCGAAACATGGGAATTCTAACCTCCTCTCCGGGTTGAATACAACGAGCAGCTAATACTTCGTAAGTTTTACAAGCTTTGAAATGTAAAGCGACACACTGAATTTCAGATTTTCTCAAGTGTAATGCTTCAGATTGCTTACTTGTTCCACAGGTTCATGATTGAACATGTCTACAAAAGGTATGACTGCAAGATTGTCTGTAATGTTTTTCTGTCATTTGAAATAAGGGTGCTGCCTAGCCTCCATCCGTACAATCGATTCGATAATGATGCCTATTGTCAACGTATATACATCTCGTGTTAACAATATGCCAAGCCCAAATGAAAGTTCTGAAATCGATGCTAGGCACCACTGTCGTAATCTATAAAAAGCTCGGAGTTTGAATTAATGATGGACAGTAAGTATGATACGTTTCGGAAGTTAGATCTAATATCTTTCAGTTGAGTATCATAAAAGCTTCTAATCGACAAAGGCATATCATTGGGATCATACTCCTTTTCTTGGAAGGCAGGCGTTCCGAAGACCTGAAAGAAAGAAAATGTTCAAATGAACGAAAAAAAAAATCTTTTTACCTGAGGTAGTACATCCAGATAAGGAGTCCATTCAGATTTCGGCGATTTCTCCATGCAGAAAAACAGGGTTAGTACTTCGAAGGGGTTCAATTTTATACTACAATATTTTCATCTTTTCCTACTAATAGACGCGTTCACCTACTCTGCAGCTTCCAAAATGATGGCATAAAACGGCGTATCCGCTACCATTCCTGCTGTGATTAAGTACATGTCGTTCATGCGAATCACTCTCTCATCTCGCCTGTAAGATCTAGCCGCGAAAATGCCATTACCTGCTCCCTGTAAACAAATACTAGTTTATTCTTCTTTGATTCCGGCGCATACTTCTCCTGAGCTTCTAACTTCTACGCCTTCTATTTTGAAATCCCTATGGCGACACCAATTCAAGAACTCTTCCATCTTACTCATCCTGGAAAACGGTTTAAATAAGTTTTGAATATAGGGGAGAGGAACGACACAACCGGTTTGCACAAAGTTAGAAATGAAATAAATGAGCTTCGCGGCATGCACGCATACGTGGAAGAAATGCGTGAGAAACGCAATTCACGTAAATTAGTGGTTTGTGTGGTTCAAGTATTCGAAACGAAATCGTTTCCTTATATGAAACATTGATTTTCTGAATATTTTTCATTCTCATAAATCGATAACAATGTAAGATTTGATCATGCTAAGCAACAACGAACACAAGCGTAACAACGCTGACCTTCTTATAGGGGTCAAAAAATTATTGAAAAGAGAATGTGAGAGCTACTCATACAAAAAAAAGTTTTATACATTTGGATTAAAACATATTTTCTTTTTGAACAAAATATGGCCAGTAGCCACCAGCCTAATTAAACGGATGTGCCTTCGGCTACTACTAAATTATCCTCGTCCGCATTTTTAATTTCACGCTCTTTTATAAAGAGCTGGTTCCCATTATGATCAAACTCATCCTCACATTCCTGAAAGGTTAATATAATCTTTGACCGATGACTCACATACCTCGTCCAAACAGATTAACAGACGCTCGTCGTCTAAGTGTAAACTAGCGGTTCCTGATTCATTTTCGTAATCTTCTTCTTTTGGATCCTGGGATGTTTCAACGATTGCAGAAACGTCGAATGGAACTATAGCATTATCATTAATACTTCGAGCGATGAGACTGCCTGAGGATGCGGGGCTATTGACATCAAGTATACGCGCTCTCTTGACCTCAAACTTTTCCTCATCACTATCCCTCTCAAGAACTTAATGCTCACTGTTAGCGATTCCTGTCATTAACTTTACACACCTCGCTTTTGTTTCTTTGGTTTCCTCTCTTCATCTTCGGGATGGATTAATGATTTCATGATTGCTTTAGCTCTTTTAAGACCTCTCGTTTCTCTTTCAACCTTAACAGGGTCTGTTTCTTTTTTCTTTTCCTGGCAGTAATCATTTCTTATTAATTGTTCCTGAACGATGTTCCTTAACTACTTTTACAGATCAACTGAATACCTTGCTATTTTCCGAATCAGACAGAAGTGGGTACAGGTTACATATCGCACAATGCTTATTGTTTGGCAATCCACCAGGTGTTGAGCAGCCGAGCCCTATCATAAGTGGTTCTTGCTCTTAGAATCGTGGCGATTACTCACCAGAAGTTGCGATACATTCTAAATATCCCCAATGGAGAGGTACATGCTCTGTGAAGAAAATCTCTACCCAGACGGAAGTGTTTACGAAAAATGATTGGCTATTGATATCATACTTGAAGAAAAGCTGGTAAGAATCAGAAGGCAGGTTAAAATCACCTTGATGAACGGGTTATTACAGAAATCTAAAGGTATCAAGTTCCTCTTAGCAAAAACATCACTAGGTGAATCTATCAGAGCAACAAGGACTGTGACATAGTGTAGTCGTTTCTCGGTTGGGCAATCCAATGATTTTTGGCTGCAGTAGAAATCAGCAAAATATAAATTGAACTTCTCGGGGTTAAGGAGAATCTGCAAGCTGAGAACATGAGTAGCGGATACAAGAAGATAAGGAAAACCCATGCGTTTATCTGCATACGCACATCTCCAAAGGGAGACTGTATGGGTAATGTCCCATCTCTCATAGTTCTTGCAGTAAAAAATAAACCTAGAAGCGAACAAGCTCTATTTGTATCTGCACGGAATGTCAAAAACCATTAATTTCTTCGTTTATGCGGTTGGCAGGCTGTCCATTGGAGTCTTTCTCATAAGGCATCATAATGCCACTACAATTGAATCTTATATCATCCCAGTATACTTTAGGTTTACATCTGGAAAAGGCTTTGATCTTTTCGTGCGAGCAGTCTTAGCACCTGTACAGAACATTGAATGGTTTAAGAGTGGGCTTAACAGAGCGAATTGCTTTGTCTAACAGCCACTGGCCTTCCAGAACACTGAAGACTGAAACCAGACTGTGTTTTAAAAGGAGATAAAGGATTGTTTTACCAGCTTTTATTTTTTGAAAACCGGTTGCTATCACTACTTTAGATCCGTTCTCAAGGCACCGAACTATCACACTACAATAGTAAGCAGGTTTCTGACTGAATTAATAACTCTTTCTCTAACTCGTATTTGCGACCAGGCACCACTTTCATTTCAGTGAAAGCTCTCCAAGACACACTAAACTTCTGATATCTTTGAGTATCTTTGTCTGTTTCATGAACTTCTACAATGTAATGAACATTCCCTATAAAATTCTCAGCTGGGTGAAAGGGAATCAAGTTAATGAAACTTCTCAGTGCAAATTCGTTCTCTATAATCCATCTCATTCTCAACTTGGTTGAGGAGATATCAAAACTAATAATCAGACATAACGGTTGAGGAGGAACGTTTTGCAATGGAGCAGGGTTACCAAAGGGACTCCAAGTGCATGTAAAAGCATCCTTAGCAATATCTATTACGAAATATTTATGTTAAAGAGGGTTCAATGAGACCTGGGAACTTTTCAAAAATACTTGGTTGGGGACGTGGGCAATCGTCGAATGTGTAATACATGGATCGAGAACCTTGATCGGGAAAATTTATTCTAAATAAACAAACTAGAAAAACATTATGAAACTGGCTTACTGGGGATTACTATCGAACACTTGGGACTGCATCTGGACACAAGGCCTCTCATCTATATCATCGAAAAATCTATCCATCAAAAACCTAAAAAAAAAATGAGAAAACACGTGCGAAAACACAAAGTGGTGACATAATCAATTTTCCTCATTTGAACATATAAAGAGGGATGAATGTGGACTTTTGCTAATTTTTTATGCAATCATATGCACTTAAGACACGCCCCTTTCACTTTGAAGTATTACCTGCTCTGATGCGAATCGCATGCCCTATTTCACTAATGTTTCATTTTCATTAATGACGAGCGGTTGCATTTGCATTTATTAAACAAATTTATCAGCTTATTGTTGTTTTTATAGTTCAAAATGGAATGCGACGTAGCTAACAACCATATAGCTTCTTTCAATTATATTGTGGATGAAGGAGTGAATCGTGCCTCCATATCAGTTCCACCGGAAAAATTTTTGTTACCTAACGGAGAGGCAGTTGAATTCAAATATCTTGGAGCTGTAATTGAACCACCAAGTCTTGATAATTCTGTAAGAGTTATTCTTCGTTTTTTTATTTATTAAATAAGTTATAGGGAAAGCTCTCATCAGTAGACAGTTTACGACTCTTTCCATCAGAATGTCGTCAACGTGGCTTGACATATTCCGGCAATTTGAAAGTCTCTATAGAGGTATCAATCTTCCGTTTACTCAGACTATCAATATTCTTCAGATCCGATCGAATAACAAAAGAGTTGATGTCTTTGAGACTGTGTTAGGAAAGGTTGTTGTTCTATAACATTCATGAAGCAATCATTCTTTCTTAGGTACCTGTCATGCTTAAGTCGAGCCTTTGTCATTTATCAAAACTGGGTAAGAAGGAATTGATCAAAGTAGGGGAAGAAGCTGAGGAGAAGGGAGGATACTTCATCTGTAAAGGAAGTGAAAAAGTACTTCGTTTGTTAATCGCCAATAGGAGAAACTACCCTATTGCTTTAATAAGAAAGTCTTTCAAAGAAAAAGTAAGGAAGAACACTTTCTTTGATTACTCAGTTGTATCGTTAAGGGAAGATTGTTCACCGAGTTTGGAGTTATGATGAGATCTGTCTTAGACAATCATACAGCAGTCATGATGACTGTTCATTACTTAGAAACAGGATCGCTTCAAATTGCTTTACAGGTACAAAGAATTTGAGTGTTAACATGATATTATTCCTTTTAGTACCGCCGAGAAATATTCTATGTTCCGTTTATGTACATTCTGAAAGCATTGACTACCAAGAACGATGCTCAGATTGCGGCAGACTTGACAAGGTTGCTCATCACATTTAGTAATTCATGTTGATCCCATTATATAGGATTCGTAAGGACGACTCTTTCTGGCAGAATTCGGTTATGAACATGCTCACCGTGTGTCAAGAAGAAGGCATTATACATCAGAAAGCCGCTTTGAGTGCAATAGGAAATCGTTTCCGTGTTGCCGTTGCAGATAAGGTTGCCCCATGGGAAACCGATGAGGTAAAATGTATTGAAAGACTTTCAACATCTGATTCTGATTTTAAGGCGGCCGGTTCATTCATTTTGCAACAAACTGTGGCGGTACATGCGACTACCACTGATGAGAAGTATAATATTCTCACGTATATGGCCCAGAAACTGATGGCGTTAGCTAAATATGAATGTGCTCCCGAAACGCCTGATAATCCCCAGTTCCAGGTAAAATCTCTTATAGGAAGTTCAAATGAAACGTTTTCTTGCAGGAGGCTGCGGTCTCAGGACATATATTACTCTTGATCATTAGAGAACGTTTGGAAAATATATTAGGGATGGTGCGGAGAAAACTAGAATACGGCGCTAAGAAAAAGAACGATTTAGTCATGGGCTCGTATGGATTTTTTATACAGGACTGTGCTTAACAATTATTTGCAGGGCAGAGTTTCAGAGAGCACTAGGGAATCATTCTGGTGGAGAGATCACTCGCGGTTTAGAATATTTCTTGGCTACGGGTAATTTAGTGACCAAAATAGGATTAGCTCTTCAACAGGTAGACTAGAAGAAAAAATTTCGTTCTTAAAACCATGAGTTCAGGAGACTGGTTTCTCTATAATAGCCGAGAGAATCAATCAGCTTCGATTCTTATCCCACTTCCGAGCTATTCATAGAGGTGCTTTCTTCATGGAAATGCGAACAACAGATGTCCGTAAACTGCGTCCCGAATCTTGGGGCTTCATTTGTCCTGTTCACACTCCTGACGGTTTAGTTATCCTCTTATCTACCGCTATAACTGAATAATGTTCAGGTGCTCCATGTGGACTACTTAATCATCTCACTGCTTCTTGCCGTATCACCACGCATTACTCTGATTGTAGAGAATTGGTTCCTTATTTGGTTGAACTTGGCATGCACACTCACGACGGGATACATTTAGCTCCTGCAAAAGAAGAAGTAGTTGCACTTACTTTCATGCAAATTTCACTTTTTTTTTCAGTGGTATCCTGTTTTGTGTGATGGTGTTTTCTTGGGTTACATTCCTGTACATAAAGCTGAAGTAGTCGCGAAACGACTTCGACTTGCCAAAATTGACAATAATGATAGCAGAGTTCCTCCTATGGCTGAAGTTAGTTGATTAACTGAGATACATTCTATGATCTGAATTCAGCTTGCTTTTGTGCCCAGGTCGCCTGATGTTGCAACTATACTGACCCAGTATCCTGGAATATACATATTTTCTGATCCAGCAAGACTTGTACGACCAGTTACTAATCTCGTGAAGGATACTGTAGAGTACATTGGTACGTATAATTAGTGTTGATAGTTTACATGTTTTTCTAGGAACCTTCGAACAAGTTTACCTGTCCATTGTCATCGATGCTAAGGAAAGAGAGCCTGGCGTCACAGAACATCAAGAGTTGCATCCCAGTTGCCTGTTCTCGTTGGCTGGTAACCTTATTCCCTTCCCAGATCATAACCAATCTCCTCGGTATGTCTAAGACTCATGTGATCATAAGATTATTTTTTTCCAGTAATGTGTACCAGTGTCAGATGGCGAAACAAACCATGGGAACTGCTGTTCATACCTGGCATACAAGAGCAGATAATAAAATGTATCGTCTCCAGGTATTTTTGAAATTCAATTTCTTCTAATCATACTCTTCAGTTCCCTCAAAAACCTCTACTCAAACTGGAAGCACACGATATGTATGAGATGGACGAGTATCCTTCTGGTACTAATGCCTGTGTAGCCGTCATTTCATACACTGGCTACGATATGGAAGACGCTATGACAATCAACAAATCTTCTTATCAAAGAGGATTTGCTCATGGAACTGTGATCAAGGTAGAGAGGTTCGTTTTCAGTTTCCTATTTTTTCTGAACATCAACTTTATTCAGAATCGATCTAGTCAAAGACAGGGATAAAAAAACTTTATTCCGCAAGGATCCTAGTTCGGATTGCGAAACGATTGGTGTCGATGGACTTCCCATTCAGGGTCGCAGATATTTCTTAGGTAAAACATATGAGTTGTCATTATATCAAAAATTTTGTGTTCTAGATGAAGTATACTACTCAACGTACAATCAAGAAACGGGACAGCATCGATCTTACAAGTTCCATTATGCCGAACCAGCGTATTGTGGTATGGTTCGATTAGTTGAGCGGGAAGGGGCTGAAACTGGAGCAAGGGTATGTGCTATTATGAATTCTAGACTTAACTGTTTAATTTGAGCATGCTTTGATTCAATGGAGGATCGAAAGAAATCCTATTATTGGTGATAAATTCGCTTCGCGCCACGGACAGAAAGGAATTAACTCTTTCCTCTGGCCCGTGGAGAGTTTGCCCTTCAGTGAAAGCGGTATGGTCCCGGATATTATTTTCAATCCTCACGGTTTCCCATCTCGGATGACAATCGGTGAGTTTTGTTATCTTGCAATCTCAACTTACTCTCTTACAACTTACAATTTTGTAATTAAGGTATGATGATCGAAAGTATGGCTGGAAAAGCATCAGCTATGCATGGAGATCCATATGATGCCTCACCTTTTGTTTTCAAGTAGGCACGGAAGTGCGAACAAACTCTTCATTTTTCTAATTTCAGTGAGAAGAAAACAGCAATCGATCATTTCGGACAATTACTGTCAAAAGCAGGATACAATTACCACGGTAATGAGACGTTCTATTCTGGAGTTGATGGTCGTCAGATGGAGGTAAGCTTGTATCTTGTTCATCTGAGATAGTGGGTTGTTTAGTGTCAAATTTTCTTCGGAATTGTTTATTACCAACGACTCCGCCATATGATTGCTGACAAGTTCCAAGTGAGTTCATAACCAAATTGTCTTGAAACTGTATTCGTGTAAGGTACGTGCTACTGGAGCAATCGATACTGTTACTCATCAACCCGTAAAAGGACGTAAGAAAGGAGGAGGTATCCGTTTCGGAGAAATGGAACGTGATGCTATCATCGCTCATGGAACTTCATTTGTCCTTCAGGTGAATATTTGTTTCCCAAATAGAAAAACTCATTGTTTTAAAGGATCGTTTGTTGAATTGTTCCGATCGAGATGCTGCCTATGTGTGCCGTATCTGTGGTTCTATTCTCTCAGTTTTTATGAAAAGCAAGGAAGCACGCGTCGACGAACGATTTAAGGTTTTCTATTCTCCAAAGTGTCGCTGAGTGTTTTTTTTAGGAAACAGAATCGGACAATAATGATTACTCAGATAGGCAGACGTGTTCGAATTGTAGTAAGAGTGATGAAGTGTATTTGGTACAAGTACCAAGAGTATTCCGTTATCTGGCTTCCGAGTTGGCTGCCATGAATGTTAAAATGCAATTAGGTGTCTCAGATGTTTCTGAGATATGTAGGAGATCCTAGTTAAATTTTCTATGTTGTTATTGTTTTGATTTTTGTTGTTGAACATTGTTGTTTCTTTAATTGTTGACTTTTTTTGTTATAGTCTGACTGTTGGTTGTTTCGCTCAATGAATCTATTGCCATGCTCAGATCTGAGTGAGTAGCAATTCCCTCGATAAATGTGTAGATAAAATTTCATTTTTTATTCCATCGACCGTAGTTTGCATCAATGAGACAACTTACCTGGACGTCTTTGTTCCTTATCTTCCAACCTACCTCCCAGATATTGCTTTATATCACGTCTCTGTTTATGGAGCTCCTGTTGAACCGAAATGTGTAGGCACTGTGGGGGGAACGGTTGTTGTTGTTCTTCCGCACAAATCGATTGTATTGGGATTTCATAAATCTGCAAGTCGAAAGCAACCGGATAAGAAGAGCTGATGGGAATGGCCTGTAGCGTAGTAGCCGCATACGCACTATTTATCTTTGCTCGAAGATTGTGGCTTATAGTCTTTCGGTGCTTATCTATCTCCGTTTGTAACATTTTGTTCCAAGCATAGAATTTGACCATGGAATGCTTAGTAATAATCGATTTGACTAAGTGCTTTGTGTTTTTATCAATCACACATCAATAATCTCGTTTGATGCATCAGGCTGATCTGAACGTCATCTTTCACAACCATTTTCTCATTGCTGTTGTAGTGTGCCTGTAGCCGATTTATATTGAAGTTTTCGATTATCATCTGGTTGTCCCGCATGTGTCTTTGCCCAACGTGCTCTTTGCTGTAAATTTATAAAATCTATCTATGAAAGAAATATGCCGCACTCTCTAATAAAACGCGCCCAGCTGGTCTGCACCGTACGCCTTTTTGGATGAAAGTTTGAGGAAACTCTGTACTCCATTCTTCTTGTTCATCCTTTTCTGTTCTTGTTCTGGGCCAGTGCGATAGCTCCAGACTCATCCAGTTGAAACTCTGACACATGTATTTGTGCACTTTGTGATCTTTGCATTTTTGACAGCCAAATGTTCGATATCGAAAGGGCATAGACTATTTCGTCAAACGTAAAGTAGCTGATAGACAGCAGCGTTACGTGAAACGTGGCGTCATTTTTGCGTGAGCTTATCATTTTGACCGGAACGGAAGTATGAGGCGGTTGTGTTGCGATGTGAGAAGAGCTATGAAAGCAAGATACACAGTGACGTCTTTAAACATGTTGGGAAAGCGAGAGCAAGGCAAACTTTCTACAGAATGCGACTGAATGACCGGATAGCTGGTAGTGGCTTTATGATTTACAGATCAAACTGGTTTTTCATTATGTTACAATTGCAGCTTGTTATTTAATTTTGAAATTGACCTCCTCAACAAACCAAAGGACGTTGATATAGGAGAAGGAATGTGCAGAGAGAGAGAGAAAGAATCAAACAGATCGGTATAGTATTACAAGTTCGTTTATGCTGCAACGCTCTTGATCGTACTCTGGTTTTTCGAGTTTACGTGTTTTCTTCCAGATGATGTCATAAAGGATGATTGAACATAATTACCGAAATAGTTGTTTAAATCAACCTGCTAATAAGGAAATAACCCAGAAACAGCATCTTTCTTATAAGGACTGTACGATTGAGAAGGGCAAGGATATCCCTACTCTTATCAGTACTGTTTCAGCTTTTCAGTGAAACTGTCTGTGTTCCAAAGTTGGACCATGACCTACCACTTTATGGCTTTTCTTATCAATATCATATAGTACTGGTCAGTTTCGGGCTTTTTTGACAATCGTAGTAGGGCACATTAGCTTTCCTTCCCCATTTTTGAGAGTAATACTGTCGCTTCATGCAAAAGGTGCTCGTCGACTCTTTCCACTAGACAACTCATTGTCGTTTTTCTGTTGACCATTCTATCTCTTGACTTTTGACTCCTTCATCCTCTTGCTGGTGATAGCTCGTATCTTTTCATTGTCTTCATTCTTGTAATAATCCTTTGACATCATCTGTATTTGTCTTTTTTCAATCACGTCATAATCGCCAAACACGTGGTAACTTCAAGTTCATTTTGTACCACTGTTTTTCTTTTGGTTAAGCCTGTCTTCTCTAGTTCGCCCACCTCTTTGCAAAGAATCTGAGACATTTGTAGATTAGTTGTTCCACAACTTCCATATATAATCGGTCAAGCTGAGAAATCAACTTCCATTATCATTCTCGCCACGGGAACTCGGCGAAGTTCGTCTGAGACTTTGTCCGCCGGCCTTATTTTCGGTCTCTGTGCTAAGGTCGCTTCGACAGAACCTAGTAGGCTCTATCTACTTCCCTTGCTTGACAAAGACCACAGATAGCAATGAGTTATCACAAAGGTTATGATCTTTGATGTTTTTCTTTTGTTTTTGCTTTCTTCTAAACAACAACGCTATCCCTATCCTTATTTGTACTTTCCTGTTTCTTTAAGTTTATCGATTTCTTTCCAAAAACATTCGCTTGCAGATGTATCTTACACGATCTTTATTGATTTTCAGCCTTGTTTTGCTCACACATGATGATTTATGAATATCTTATCCGATCTTTCATTTATTTTATGATATCATCCGATATCTTTTCTCCTCACACCACTCCTCTCCACCCCATTCTCCTAAAGCATATCCTGGTCAATTCAAACTGACTGTTTACAAATTTAAATTTTGTAGTCTGATCTGTTAGTCTTGGAACTCATAAAGTAGGACAGCTACTCTTTATCTGCTCAAATACTCATTCATTGTACTCTTTGCTCTTCTGTCATGTGGACCCCAATGTGTGCCTCCCTTAATTTTTTTCGCTTATCTGCATCCTTTTTTGGGTTTTTTCTTCTCCATAAAGCTTATGCAGATTAACAACTGATTTTTTCTTTCTCATAAACCTTCCTCCATGCCCCATCCCAGATTCTTTTATCGTTTACGATTTGTATATGATTAAACAGGCGATAAGGAATCGTTGAAATTTTCACGATTTTCTTCGCTGATGTTTGTCTTAAATCATTTTTCGTGTTCATGAAAACTCGGAAATGCTCATATTGTGTGGAAGTGGAGAGAGAAGCCAGGTTGGATTTCGCAGCTCGATCATCCAATTTATCAAGCTGGCACTTATGCTGTTTAATCAGCATTTTTGATATCCACGCAAGCTTTGATGTTTTCGGCGTGATCGAAGTATCGTGTCAGAGCGCGGACATCTGTTGTTTTTTCTGCTGGCATTCCTGAATATTTCCATTTTTGGGAGATAGCTGTTGATATCTGATTCACGTGGAGAGTGAGAAGAATTTGATGACAACAGCACTTCATGGATACCACGGTCTGTTTTTTCCTTTATCCCTCATGTCCTTGTCATTACTTTTTTGATTTATGGGTGTTATTTCATTGGGCGATCTTGATGAACACCCGAAAAGAGAAAGAGAGAATACGAGGGATTTACATTCCGTCTGAACTTGACGTCCTGTAGACGAGAAATATGAGCTCCGCCCAATAGTTATTTGTGGTATATAACAAACTATATATGGGCGGTGGCTGGAGGAAGCCCGGCAATTTCCAAAATCACGTCCAATCGGTCCACAAGAGCTCCACAGCCCGCGAACGCTTGCTAACAGGTTTTGCAGGATTGGCTATATATGGATCAGACTTTTGATTTTCTTGTGATCTCCTAATCATATGTTAGTCAGATGACGTAGCAAATGGAGAAATGACGTTAGATGATAGAACCGCGTGTGTTTTTCGCGTCTTCATCTACTTATTTCTGTCGATGCCGGTTTCTTCTGAGACCGTTGCTTCTTTCTTATCAAATTGTCCTCAACATTCACTTTCCCTCCCATTATTCTGATCTTTTTCGTCTTTGTTCCTGACGAAATATTGTATGACAGCTGTAGAAGTACAAAAAAGGAAAGAGAGTCGTTCAGCTGTCTTCCTCTCTCTCCTCCTACACTTCCACCAATCTCAAGAACTTTTATTTTCAATCTTTCATTTGAATCATCTTCTCATCCACAAACCCATGCTTTCAATTTTTTTAGAACTTTTCAATATCTCCAATGAAGAGGATGGTTTTCGAATCATGAAAAGTTTGATCCGAATCTTCCTGTCGTTTCCCGCCTCCCGCTTTTTGTCTTTTTTTCTTGTAAACTAAAACCTGTGATTGAGAGATGTATACATCTTTCACCAGCTGAGTAATGTATTTGTTCTTTTACTTCGTTGACCCACTTTTCGGTTCTCTTGATTCTTGCTCGTATCGGAAGTTTGAAAAGTTGTTTTATCTCATTTGCATACAGATGGCAATGGTTCTCGATACATACAAAGAAGAGATGCTCCAATCTCTCGAAGAGCTGTCCGTCTTCAAACGTCCCTCTCAGAGACAATTATCGGTTCGAGAGATGGTTAGTGTTTTTCCCTCAATACAATTTTGCAAGATAGAGAGATGTTTGGCAATCAAATCATTAAATTGATAATTGATGTTTTACTTTTCTTACATTTTGTTTTGCAGATTGAAGAAGCCTGTAGTTGTCTTTTCGTCTCCGATGAAAAACTTCATCGTGTTATGAGAGCTCTCGAAACATCAATGGATAAAGGCCTTTCAAAAGAGACTGGTAAGATGGAACAGAACATTCCCGGCAGATGTAATGATTTTCAGCTTCACATGCTGCTCTCAAAATGCTGCCTTCTTTTGTTCGTTCTGTACCAAATGGTAAGGAGTTCGGAGATTTCCTTGCCTTGGATTTGGGTGGAACCAACTTCCGTGTCCTATGGATCCGTTTGGAAGGTCGGGAAGCTGAGATGAAAAGTAAAATTTTCCGAGTTCCCGAGCATGTTATGAGAGGCCAAGGAGAAGCTGTAAGTCAATTATTCTTTCTACAGAAGCTCAACTTTCACTTCAGCTCTTCGATCATATTGCCGAATGCATGGCCAAGTTCATGGAGGAGCATAATCTGAAGAATGCTGAAAAGCTTCCTTTGGGTTTCACTTTCTCTTTCCCATGCGAGCAGCACGGATTGACCGAGTAAGTTCATCGGTGTTCATTTTGTGAGCTATCCAAATCTTACAGAGCTACATTGATCAACTGGACTAAAGGCTTCACCGCTTCCGGAGTTGTTGGAGCTGATGTTGTTACTATGCTTCGTGAAGCTTGTGCTCGTCGTAAGGTAATTGAATATCTGTTTATGAGAGTTAATGTTAACCTGCTAAGGATATTGATATTGATGTTGTTGCTGTACTCAACGACACTGTTGGTACTTTGATGGCCTGTGCTTTCAAGCAGAACACTTGCCAGATAGGAGTGATAGTTGGAACGGGTACCAATGCCTGTTACATGGAGAAAATCGATAGAATCTCTAAGCTCGAAGGACAAGTTGATTTAGATGATGGTCTGCCAGATGAGGTAAACATCGCTGTCCAATAAGAGACTCATAATCCCTTTATTAGATGATCATCAATACTGAGTGGGGAGCATTCGGTGATGATGGAAGTCTCGGATTCATTCGAACGGATTTCGACGACATTGTTGATCAGAGCAGTTTCAATCCTGGAAAACAACTGTAAGGATGTTATATTGTGCGAAAGTAATGATTCTATTTATAGCTTCGAGAAAATGATCAGTGGAATGTATCTCGGAGAGGTTACTCGTGTTATCCTTGAGCGTCTGACTCGTGACCATCTACTCTTCGACGGTGATTACGAAGCCATCTCCAAACGTGGTTGTTTCCCAACGAAGTATTTGTCTGAAATTGAAAGGTTTCGAGAAGCACTCATCTTGTTCAACCTTATTTGTGAATTTTGCAGTGATTTGCTGGAAGACGACGACTGTACTTTCCAAAAAACATATCAAATTCTTGAAGATATCGGAATCGAACGTGTATCGAACGCCGATTGTGCCAATGTTGCTTACGTGTGCACACTTGCCAGTACAAGGTTAGAGCAAACAGATATAGTGTAAAAGTGTCTTTTCATTCAGGGCTGCTTATCTTACTGCTGCAGCTATCGCTACACTTCTCAATCGTATGGATAAGGAGCATGTAACGGTTGGAGTTGATGGCTCTGTTTTCCGTTTCCATCCAAGTTTCCCAAAACTTCTGGATGAGAAGATTGATCAGTTGATTCATGGAGACTTAGAGGTATGTGATATCACCGTATAGATATAACTGAACTGGGTTTCAGTATGAATTAATGTTGTCTGAGGACGGCTCTGGCAGAGGAGCTGCCCTTGTAGCCGCAGTTGCAACTCGTATGAAACATGAGTTAGCTGGATTGATCTAAATCCTATGAAAGCCATTCATATCCATTCATATACATAACTGAATGTGCATAGTTTTATTACTCTTTGATTGTCTAACAAACCCATTTTTATTAACAAAACCGTGATTCTTCACATCTGTAAGTAAGCGTCGCTCACTCCTTTTCCATCCATTTTTCTTTTTTTCATCTGAGCATGAGCGCCTTTTTCTTTTTTCCTGGTTCCCTTTCAGAAGTTCATCTGATGTTCGGGGCTCCAAGCAATTTGTCAAATGTTGTAAATGGGTTTTCATAATTCCTTTTGTGATAGATATCGCCTCTAGTTTCCCATTCTCATCTCATTTGCGTTTTAATTTTTTTTTCATTTTTCCGTGTATTTTTTGCTTTTTAGCTGACCACTCCGTCTCCTATCTGTCCTCTTCGACTTGTCTTGCCAGTCAAGGATGGGTAGACCAACCGTTTAGGTGGCCTCGAGTAAGTTGTTTCTCGAAGAGGATGGTTAGAAGATGCTTGAGGAGTAACTAAGCCTCTTTTGGCTGTTTGTATGTAATGTACGTTGAATTCACTTCAACGAAATGACTTTAATCTTATTAATAGAATGTTAACGCTAAGCTTTTCTTTTGTATGATTGTGTGAATATAGATCTTGAAAATAGCTTGAAGATGATGTATAGATCGTGTAATATAAATTTCTTGTGATGTGTCTGTTTGTATCTGAAAAAGAGACATATTTGCCTAATGTGACCATGTACATGTGATTCAGAAGTAGAACAATCTGGCCAAAGTGTCTGCGGATCATCATCATCGTCGTCGATCTGTTCATCGAACGTTAGGATGAGAGGGATTGTTGGCCCCACACGCAGACTGAATCATGGCCAGTTTTCATACCAGGATTATCTTTTTACAATGGCTTTACTATTTAGATCACACAGAGAGGTAGTAATCGATCGCTCTACGCCCAACCTCATTAGTGCTTTGAACTGTTTATCTTCAGAAATATTTCTTTTTTAAGTTCATTGATCTGTCTTTCACTCTCTGCTATTGTAGCACTCTCCCACCTCTTCACGTTTACATTATAGTAGTTAACGAGGAAGTTACCAGGATCTAAGAAGCTCAAGTGAATTCCAGAGAGTTGTAGTAATGGTAAGCCTTTCTGTATACAAAAAAAATGAGAGAAAAAAATCTCGCTAAGAATGCGTCAGTAGAGTTGAATGAAGAGACTGCACATGTAAGAAAGTAAAGATGTAGTGGAAAGCCTGAAAACCGACTGCACGCAATAAAGAGAGAGAGAGAGATAGAGAGAGAGAGGAAGCTGCGAGGGTCTGTTTTCTGTCTCTTTGTTTATGACTTTCCATTAACAACTGGATGTGGCTTTTGATGCTTTTTTTGTCATCGAATTTGATCAGAAATCCGAGAGAAACATTATTTTTTATTCATAAACACATCATTCCTTTGATATGATTTTGAAACGACGCTCGCGCTGCATAAACAGAAAGAGAACTTTCGAAAATTAGGTTTGAATTACAGTTGAATAAACTGTTGGTTCGTTAATAGTAAACATGGTTTCAAAAGATAGACATGCAAGGATGTAAGCTGAGAAACTTTGCAAAATTTCGAAATCAAAGTTCATGGATTGTAAATGATTTGCCAGTTTGCAATGGGATGAGTTTAATTGAGAGGAATGTGAGAAGAAGTCTATGCGCTACAACAGAAATGATCACGGACTGTTTGGAGTACTGAAGAACAAGTACTGGATGGAAGACTATGTGAAAAGAGAAAAGAGTTGACAGAGAAGACGACCAACGCAGTTTGCGAGTGAAGAAATGAAGAGAAAATACAAACAATAAAAGCAGAAAATGCTGAAGTTTGTATTCTCTAGTTCCAACCTTCTTCTGGTCATCTTCATTTTCATTCCACTTTGCTCATTGTTCATAATCTTGTTTTCCATTTCAGATAGAGCATGTTAAGAGATCATTACGATAACTGTCCGACAGAGTCAATCGTACAAATTCAAGATATGTCAGAAGATTGGGTCGAAACATTTCCTGGAAGTTTTGAAATTAACGGCAAACTCATGCATGTCGATACCCATTATCCTTCCAGCGCACGTGGATTAATCAAATTGATTCAAGTTGTGAGTTTTATTGAAGAAAATGCTCCATTGGATATCCTAAATAACGCAACCGCTCGGTGTGACTTAAATTTTCAAAATGAATTAGCGTGGGACGCGCTGTACGCGTGAAGTATCTCATTAGCATATTTCAAAGCGGTTTGTTAAAAGCTGGCAATAACATTTTTTTCCAGATCGTTTGTTTTCTGGCTTTGATACTTGTTTGCTCATCTCAACCTGTGCAGGATGAACGAGGAATCCCGATGCTCATATGTAGCGCAGGAATCATAATTTCATTTTTTCTCCTCATTTCTTATACCTTGCTGATAAACATAAAATGCCAAGCCACAGCTTGGTACATAATGGTATTATCCTGGCAATTATGAGCTGAATGTTGATTGAGTATGCTTCAGGAAGTTGTGTTATACCTTATTCTCGTCGCAGGATTTATAATAAGTGGATTATTAATGGCTATTTTCTGTGCAAGGCATTGGGCTGACATAAACCCAGTTTGGGAGACAATGCCAGCTATAGCATCGGTAAGTAGCTATTAAACCATATTTCTTCGGAGAAACTTGGTAATTCCAACAAAACCGGTCGTTTGAAGATAAAATTTCTAATGAATTTTAAATTTTTTTTCCTAAAAATGTTACTTTGAGGGCGTGCTATTCGTTTGTGCATTGCTCTATCTGGCTGACCTACTTGTTGTTCTGCTGTATTGGAAACGTTGGTCATGGCATCCCACTTCTGATTTTGAAAACGAGCCCCGAAACAGCGTTTTACCTAGCTGAACATAAATATCGAACGAAAGATGAAAAGCGAAAGTACATTAGTTTTTTCTCTATGATCATATTGCAATAATCCGTTTTTATTTTCTAATTGTATCGCATTGTCTGTGTGCTCTCGTGCTCCATAGCGAAAACCAGTTTACTGTAGTGTACGCGCTGCGGTAGTAAGCCGCGCCGTTCGAACCATTGCTATTCCGGTCCAGCTTTTCATATTGTGAAGAAGTATAAAAACATTTAGTCTGTTTTCCACATATCGCCTATATATTCACTGATTTCAAACTTCTACAATAAAATCTCTTCAGAATCGTTGCTTTCCGCTGTCTACCTCCCTATTGTACATTTTATTTCGATTTTTCGGTATATAGAAGAGCATTCAAAGCTCAATAATTGATACGTAATGTATGGATATAATCAAGGTGGTTATGGGTTAGTTGTCGAAGAGTTTGAGAGTCGTGAAACGTTTTCATTTAAGTGGATATGGTTCGTCATATACTGCTAACGCTGTAGCGTCTGCTTATGGTGGCTTAGGTCAAGCTGCTGCTAATCAATCTCCGAATTTGCCAAGCAATGTCTTCAGGTGAATTTTTCACTGATCCACGTGCTTTAAACCCCTTTCTCTTAGTTCTTCCACATCATATGGTAATTATGGGAATTCCGTAGCCGCAGCGTATGGGTATAATCAACAGTCTTCCAATGCTGCTTCAAATGCTGCTCAAGCGTTCGCAGCCCAAGCTGTACAGCAGCAGGTTTGAAAAAAAACGTGGCCCATCAGAAACATTCTATTTAAGGCCAGTCGAATGTTTGATGCTTACACAGCAGCGGCCTCTTTGAATCCCAGCCAATATTCTCCGTTTGGATCTGGGAAAGGTTAGTGAACTTCGATTTTGTTGCTTAATTGTCCTGTTGTTAGCTTATGCACAAGGATCTAATACCACTGGTGTCAGTGGCTATATGAGAAATGCTACCAATAACCCTCTTGTTAAACCTTCTCTTACTTCTGCCCTTTCCTCTGTTGCGCAAAAAAGTAAAGCAGTAGAGTGTTTTTGCTTTATCCAATCGCTTTCAGATACTAATAACTATTCGGGTTATGATGCAGCTGTTTATGCTGCAGCATCTAATTTTCTTCAATCACAGGCCACTGGTGGTGCTCCGATGTGGATGCATAAGAAGCCTAGTATGTGTCTGTTTGAATGCGACATCATTAATTCTAAATTGCAGACAGGAATGGTCGCGGGCCCAACCATGTTCCAGGGTTCCCCCATAAAAGATTTGGAGCTGGAACTCAAAACCGAGAGACTCAACAGTTTTATTGCGATGTTCGTATATTGAAGTTTTTTCGATTCGTAAATAACTCGTTTAAGACATGTAAAATTTCTTGCGCTGGTCAGTTGACTTATAAAGAGCATCTGGAGGGCCAGCGTCACAAGAAAAAGGAAGCACTAGCAAAAGGGGAAAACAATCAAAGTCTTCCGAAAAGCAAAGTGTCATTCCGATGTGATTTGTGTAATGTGACATGCACTGGACAGGACACCTACAATGCCCACGTGCGGGGAACAAAACATCAAAAAACCCTGGCGCTTTGCAAAGTGATCATCTCATGACATCCGTGTTTATTATTTTTTCTTTTCTCAGAAACTTGGCAAGCCGATCCCAACACAGGAGCTCACGATCATTGCTCCATCTGAATTGGGTGGAATCATTCCTCCACCTCCTCCGGCTCAATCTAACGGGTCTTCGACCGAAACTAGAGCAGTAAGAATATGACTTAAAATGTGTCTAGTTCTCTGATTACAGTCTATTCTGCCCGGCAAAGAAGCTATAGTAACTGCAGTTAGAGCTCAACCCGAAGAGTTACAGGTAAGAAGATGTCACTTTCTTTTCGATTGAAGGTCATCAGCTACATTTGTCTATGAACTTTCCAAAATTGCAACTTTCACCGTTATCATCGTTCACCACAGACTATGAAACTGATTTTCAGGCTTTGATTGCTGCTGAACAGAACGTTCTTCCTGTTGGAGAGGAGTTCATTGATGCTCAAAGAGATAGTACGGGTGGGTCAATTTGAAAGAAAACATTATTTCATCATAATGATTCAGGAAAACTAGTCCAGTATTTCTGTAGTTTGTGTGAGTGCAAGTTCAGTGATCCTAATGCCAAAGAGATACATCTTAAAGGAAGACGACATCGTCTACAATACAAAATCAAGGTTTTTATTTTGTTTTTATTTATTTTGTAGTGTGAAGTTCAGGTGGATCCCAATATTGAAGTTGAAATCAAACCTCAACAGAGCAGAGGGCGTAATAACAAATTCGCTGCTGGACCAGTAGTGCGACCAAAGTAGGACCTTTCTTTCTTTTCTTGTTACCTATTTCATTCCGCAGAGGGTCGTGGTACGGAAATGTTCGTGGACCCTTCCCCAGCAACGTTCCGTTCGATAGAAAGTTTGATAGCTCGGATGATCGTCATGTGTTAGCCAAGGAGAAAAGCATTTGCTGTAGTGAAGAGGACAAAGCAAGAATTGAAAACTTCGTTCTGAATGTGGAAAAATCGCTAAAAGCTGTTTCGGACATTTTCAACGAGCGTGATGAACTTGAAAAACCCGCAGTAGCAGAAGAAGGCGTCGAGGTAATTTGGTTAGTCATTCTGAATTGTGAATTGGCTCGTTTAGGAGAAAGAGAAGGATAGGCTCCTAATGGGAGTAATGAGAGTAGGACTGCTTTCAAACGACTTATTGCTTAAGAGCGATGATGAAGTTGAATTAGCTGTTCTTTGTTCGAGAATTCCAACAGAGCAACTATTGAAAGAAGTTGCTGAACTTGCTGTTCAAAGCTTTAGAGTTGGTTGACAGTTCTTGAAAGATTAGAAAAGTAAAATTGTTAGGAAATAATGGAACCTTACGATGTGCAAGAAGATGTAAACAAGTCGGCGATAATTGTTTGTAAATCAGATTCAAAGATGAAATGTCGAGTAGTTTTGACCTCAAAAGCATTCAGGGAAGGAGGTAAGTAACTTTTCGTTCTAAATTCTTTTCCTTTCGCGCTATGAACTTCCGATGTTTGGAGAGCATGTTGGCGACAGTATGAGTGCTAGGTTTCAGGACATATAAGGAGTAGATTTGACCATTTTGTTCAGATGTTTTTGTCTTTTCAAGTAACTGAGCTTAAAATATTTTTTGGAATCTCCACGCACTCACATATTCGTTCACACGGAATGTTCTTCAACTTTTTTTGAGCAACGTTCTTAGTCTCTACGGGGAGTCGAGAGTGAAAGATGGTCATACTGGTTTTCAAACGAAGAACTTTCAATCAGTTTTTATCATATTCTGAGAAAACTTATTATTAATATACATATAATCCAATATATGCAATACGTGACCATCTTTCTTATAAGTCTATTCAGACTTGACCGAGTTGCCTCCCGACTCCCTCAACAAGGATTACTGTCTACAGGCGCTAGCCAACCAAAGACGTACCAAATGGTTCCAGGTTCGTAAAAAAAAAACTTACTTTGGTTCCACTTCCTGTCTTTCATTCTTCTTGAATGCCTCCATGCGTTTGTTCACCAACATTGTCTTTTAGTCTCGCTGCTCCAATCTCCAATCATGTGTCACTAGCATTCGCATATTGAGAGATTTACGAAGAAAGAACAAGGATCTGAGTTTCTTAACCGACTGGGTAATACTAACTGAAATGTGAAACTGAAGAATACTGGTTTTGCAGATTTGCGAGCTCTTAGTTGAGAATATTCTCTCATGTGCTCTCGTACCTCTGTCACCTGGAGACGCGCTCCGTAGAGTGTTAGAAGCTGTCGCAGGAGGAATTATCCTTCCATGTAAGATAGTGTTTCATTGACTTCATTTATATATCGTTTCAAGGTGGACCAGGTCTTCTCGACCCTTGTGAAAAGGAAAAGACAGATGCTGTAAATGGCCTGACATACGTTGAGCGTGATAGCATTACTTCATTCTGCCAAAACTCATTGCGATTGCTTGCATTTAATCAGATTCATAAGGTACTAGAGATGGAACGATTACCTGATGTACGTCCTCCTTTGATGGATCGTAAGAGACCATTGGACAACGACAAAAAGGAAGAAGGTAAAAGATTTGTTCTGTGCGTCTGCATCAAGAGTTTAGACATCAAAAAAGACAAGAAGGCTGAAGTGAAGGAAGAGGAGATTGAGGTGAAGATGGAAGTCAATTGAGCCGATACGGGCATATGTTGTAAATTGTAATTTGTTATTGTTTCTCTCTCAAATTGCATAATTTATGATCACTGTTACTGTTACAGTTTAATAAATAAATAAGAAAAAAACGTCTTAAAATTCCTTCAGATTCTTTGGTAGAGATAGAGATACGCGAGCTGCTTCGGAGGATTCTGAGAGATTGCCACCTTTTCGTCGTTAATGAGGATCTGAAAGACAGAAGAGTAAAAGACTGCATCCAGAAACCATATCTTACCCATTTGTCGTCCTTCAACAAGTGAGTAACGTAATGACCAGATTGAGGACTGCTGCCCATATGACTGATTAAACCTATCAGTTTATACTTGCCATTGCCATCAAGACATTCCCTTTCTTTCGGAGCAGCGGATACAGATTCCTCAGGAGGACTTGGTACCTAAACAACAACGACTATTTCACACAAAACGGTATGAGTTTACTTCATCAGCATGTAGGAATAGCCATTCAGCTGCAGCATTTGGATCAGGGAATTTTTCCAACGCATAGCATGCTTGATGTCCAGTGAAACCTAAATCAGATTATGCTGAGCACAATGAGAGGACATACCGAAATTCATCAACTCCTGTACACAAGGACGATCTAAACCCGGGTTCTTGGATGGCTGACGTAAAACTGGCTGAGGTTCGTCGTTAAGGCTTGGGTCATCCAACTTTCCCATCAACCATTCCAAAGCTGCATCAGCACTGCCAGATGGATGAATTTGAATTGCTGCTTTAACGGAAGCATTTCGTGAGAAGCCCATTTGCTCCAATTGTTCAACTACAGTTGTATTGTAAGGAGGTAATTCTGCCTTGGGCAGTTCGTCAAGAATATCGGGCAGGAGGTTCTCTTCATCTTTCTTTCCTGCACCTCGGAAAGCAGATAGGTCCAACTCATCATCAACTTCGACATCAACGTCATATTTTTTAGGAACATAGGTATCGGTGAAATAGAATCGTTGAACTGCTAACAACAGAAAATCTGGGAAAGTTCTGAATTTCACAGTGTTGGTAGCTCCCTTCTGCTCCAAACTGACTGGCGAAGTGAAATCCTAGAAAGATTACTATGAATCGAATGACTCTGATATGCGTACCTCGATCAGAGAAGGAGAAAGTTCCGACTCAATCAAGCTGGTCAACTGAGTTCTATATCGCTCTACATTATCATCACCGGTGAAAGCAGTTAAATGATCCTAGAACAATAGGAAAAACGGTGAACTCCGTTCAGCATACTCTCACCTTTCGAACAGGTAAGCCAAGAATGTACTCATCCTTATCAGTATAACGAACGCATCCTGATCCTAGATCTTCGAAACGTGTCTCCAGCAAGAATCTATAGAAAGAGAAGTTGAATCATGAATATTCGAATGGAGATATACTTGAAAGACATTGTGGGATCCTCTTTCTCATTAGATGTATGAGATGAGATACGATCGAATAAGAATCTGGAACGTCAGCGCTTTGACACGACAAGATGATGAATCCGATACCTGATGTATTCCTCAGCATCCTGTTGTCTTGCAGTACTGAACTCGGAATGATTTCCGGCAGCGATTCGCTTGAACACTTTCGGTGAGATTCCATTCCGAGGTCCATCTTCCTGAAATTCAGGTGATCATACGCTTTACAGATGTTCTATTCCTTACAACTGCATAATCTCCGCTCATCATTGAACTGAATAGCTTCGTGAATTGGGCATTGAAATCTGATGGAATCTAGGAAAATCTCTCGTTATATTTTTTCCTGTTGGACACACACCTTCTGAGGATCAACCGTTAGTAGAGAGCTTTCAATATCGTCCACATATCTTCGTTGGAAAGATGGGATCATGAGAAGAGCTTGGAGAACCTAGAGTAAGGTATAGTTTTTTCTTTTTCTATTGATTTAAAGGCTTACGGAGTTCATGTAGCAACTGCTACCAATATTGATGAGCCCTGTGTACCCACCACCAAAAATGTTTTCAAGTTCTACACCATCTTCTTGGCATTTCACCCATTCCCATCTAGATATTCAAATTATGTACGAGAGAGAAGAGAACAAACTCTTGATTCATGTCTAGTTCTAGCTCGATGGTGCTTTTCTCAGTTTTTTCCAGTTGCTCAACATCAAGTCCGAAATGAGCGAGATGTTTCGATAGGTTAGGATCAATAACAGCGTCATCTTCATCATAACTAAAGTTTCGAACGTTTGAAAGAAAATAAGAAACCACGATACCTGTATACATCCCCAGTTCCATCTTTCAAAATAGTTCCTAGTTTAACCACGAGTGGGTACCTTCATTATCTTAAGATATACAAGAACTTAGAAATGTAACTTACCCTGTAGTATCATAATGCAGTTTCATATGATTGTTTCCTTTGCTTTTGGTTCCTTCAGATATGAATTGGGATCTTCCACAACGAATTGATCCATCAACCAAATTGAGCCAAAGATTTTGAGACAAGCCGCAGCCTTCCACATCGCACATCCATCCACTGTACGGGATCTGAGTAATAGTTCTATCTTTGAAGCTAATGAGCGACACTAACCTTCTTTCCATTGTTGAGTTGTTCAAGGTTAGCATGCTTTGTTATTTTTCTTTCCTTAAACGTCAACGAATAAGCATGCAATAAGTGAAAACGAAACCTCGCCATCCCAAGCGTTGCTTGAACTGGAAAGCATTTCCAATCGTTCGGCACTAGTGGAAGAAACGACGAAATTAGCGGCTCTAAACAATCGTTAGGAAGCACAACGCATTAGGAAGTTACTTGTATAGTTCCTCTCCTAAGTTTTCATCAATCAAGCATCTAGTATTGAGCTTGGGATAGACAGTGAGATGATAAGCATCCTCAATTTCGAATCTGAAAAATTTTAAATAGCGAATGTACGCTTTCCACTAGTTACTTTTGGAAATCGAGGTTCTTATACAAATTTTTGGTGGAATTGACAGCATTACTCTCTTCATTCACCGCTAACTTAGTGATCTTATTGTTTGGTTCTCCTGTGTCATCAGTATCCATTGATACAGACACCTATAAAACGTTAAATCCTTCTTGAGCAAGGAAAATCAATGGTATCACCTTTCGACTTTCAATTTGGACGAAAAGCTTGTGCCCAAACCGAGATGAGTAAAATGCAACGTGTTTTGTGCAAACACAGTAGAAGCTCTTCAAACATACATATACCCCTCCTTAAAGAAAGCTCTATAATCAGTATAATTAGTGATTTTCCATACCTTCGAAGAATGGTGTATTAAAGCAGTACATACACTCATCCTTGTATACTTTTGTCAAAATGCTAGGGACTGTATATTGAGTTGAATCTATATCTTTCGCAATTTCAGTCGAAGATACCAATTGATGAGAAGCAGCCATCGTCTTGAAATATGATGACAGAAATAAATTTTCTATATCTTTTGCCGCCTCTTGGACATAGAGACCTAAGCCACGCCCATTTTTCCGTGAACCATTTGCAAGTAGTCTTCTCTCAAATTCCAATTTCTGATTTTTCATGAATAAGATTTTGAGTAAAGTCGTTTACTGATACTCGCCAAAGCTTATTGACGTTTCTCCTTTTCACTAAAGGTGGTTCGATCTTCATGCTGTTAAATGTTAGTGCTTAGAGTCTGTGCAAAATGATTTTGAGGATGCTCTTGAAGCGGAATATTTGATTGCAATTTCTATGAGCATTTCGTGTGTCATGGTGTCTTGTGGTTCACTGCTGACTCAAACCTTCACACAGCACAAAACGATTCAGTTATTGTTTTGCTGATATAATTGGCTATATTAGAAATTTGTTTTTGAAATATTGTTTTGACAAGAGGTGTGTGAGTTCGATGCATTCATCCTCGTGCACGGCTCAAACTATGAATCACCCCCACATCTAGCGTTCCATCATTCGATACCACACTGTTTGTTATCAAAGTTTCTTCATGTTTTAATCTCGAATATTCTGACCCTTACCTGGTCTTTGGTCCTGTAGCCATTAACTTTCGAATATTTTCAGAACGAATATGGAGTTAATCTAGTCAACGCTCCGTCTACTAATTACTAACATGCAAATACTTATTCCTATATCATTTTTTGTTGTTTCTGCAACATCTTTCCTGCCATACAACTTGTTTATGAATGCTCATGAGGTTAGTTCCATCAAACCAACTTTCTTTCATCTTTATTTTGTTTAGTATTTTTATTTCAAATTACACAACACGAGCATTTTCAATGGCACCGACTTCAAGCCTATTGCCGAAGAAACTGTTCTTCAGCGGAAGTTCGAAGGATACCTCTCGCTGTTTGGAGGAGTTGCCTGCATTATAGGAGCTGCTGTTAACTTACTTTTGACCACACAGTGAGTTCCCTTGTCAACATTCATTTGAATTTTCGTCGTTTTCATGTTGTCGAACAGCTTCCGAGTTTATGCCGGGCATGCCTTAGTTCTGCTTTCTTTGATTCCCACAATTTTCTATACATACACTGATACTGATGACTGTTAGTTCATTTTTTCAACTCATATTATTCATTATTCATATTCAGATCAGCAAGATTTCTTTAATATTTCTTTGATACTGGCGTCTTTAGCTAGTTTTGGTTCGATCGGGTTGATTGGAGGCGGGATCATGGGCCTTGTCAGCGGTTTTCCTTCACATAATGTAAGTTAAAACTTTTTCAAAAATAGCAAAAATATTTTTTTCCAGCTAAAAGCCGTTCTGTTTGGTCAGTCAGCAGCTGGAATTTGTGCCACTGTTCTCAGTATCGTTTGTCAGGTTCGGTTATTCTATTTTAATATAATAATTCGCAAAAGTCATTTGTGAGATGTTAGAAAAAACTTTCTCATTCAGTCAGTTTTTACATTAAACTGTAAGCCTCTTATTTCTAGTTCCAATCATCCTGATGTTCAGGAATGTTTTGGACAACCGTTCGTTGCGCATGCAATGCATAAAATGAACTAATAACTGACGTTTACGTGACTTTCACGTGTTGCGTGGAATCCACGTATCCACGTGAGTTTCACGTAACGCCTCAAAGTTCACGTACGTGAACCAGTGAAACAATTTGTGTTATTGAGAGAATGTGTGACATTAGCATATGACATGAAATTCACGTAACACGTGGTGATTGGTGAGCGTTGTAAAAAGATGAAATTGATGTTTTGCTGGAACAACTTGATTATTTCTTGATGTGATTGTGTATTTTCTATAGATAACTACTTCGGACCTCATTTGGAATGGCAGAATTTATTTTCTAATTGCTACATGTTGGACGCTAATGAGCATTTTGTTCTATAGATATGTCAGCATTAAGTCTAAAACTCCATACGACAGCGAGTACGTGTTTTCTTCTAGATTTTCATTCTATTTCTAATGTTTCAGTAGTGACAGTGAGGATGATACAAATGCACTTATTCGAAGTGATAGTGATCCTGATTTGAATGCTGTTCGTACTGTCTCAGACAAAGACTTGTATATGAGGACACTTTCGAAGGTTTGTTCTCTTTTGTGAGACTTTTTCGAAATATGTTTTGTTTTTCAGAGCAAATATTCCTTAGCGTGTCTAATGTTGACCTTAACTATAACGTTATCCGCCTTCCCAGGTGTGGCGAGTCTTGTGAAATCAGTTTCTCACAGCGAAGCATGGATAGGTAAGTTCATTTCATACACGACATTTAAATTGCTTGCATTCAGGATACTTCTCTTCTATCTGCTGCTTCCTAGCTTTCAATGTAGGTGATGGTTGTGGTCGTGCCTTGAGCGGTATGAAAAAGATGGTAATAGTTTTCTGCTGACTAATTGAAAGTATTTTGTTTAGGGAACAAAATGGTTGACAATATTTTGTTTATTGCGTTGTGTGTTTATTCCTTTGATCATCATTTGCAATATACATCCTCGATATCACACTCCTACACTCCTGCCTTATGACGGCGTATTTCTCTTGGTCATTTTGTTATTCGGAATTACACACGGGCATACTTTTTCCATTGCGGTTGACAATATTACAGGGTTCGTATACACTTTCTCATGCTGCTTCATTGAGTTTGATTCTATTTTCAGTTCGGTAGATCCGGAATGCGGTGAAGTTTCAGGAAGTATTATAAATCTAGCCAGTGTCTTATCCGCTTTCATCGGATCTTTCATCGGTATCGGATTAGTGACTCTATTATAGTTCGATGTGTTTAACATATCACTTATATTAGTAAAGTATTTTGGTTTTTTCATTTGTGCATACTCACCAGCTGTGGCTCCTTCAGCTTAGTCTATATATCTTTGACTCTTGTTATGATTTCGTTATTATTATTGTTATCAGTTTTAGCCACATAAGTGGCTCAGCGTATGCGATACAGCCGACTGGCTAGTTGCCAAGAAGAGGCAGACGAAGCCAGTCGTCTTTTGCCAATGATCGACTCCGAGGTTAGTATATTAATATGAGACTCGAGATGATTTATACATTTACAGGCCGCTTTGGATGGCTCTGACGACGTGTATTTACTTCCATCAGTTTCATCACGTTCATCAAGTACATTCAGTATGACAAAGTAAGAGTTTGTCCTTAATAAATTGAAGAAGAGAACTGCATATAAGAAACCACTCTAAAATGGAATGTGTTTTGCGGTACGAAAGGAAGAGAGAAGGAGAAGTGTGCAATGCGCGGATGTGTTTGCTTTCCTTTTTCCCTTTATTTTGCGTGGCTATCAAACCATCGTCTTTTTCTCTTTCTCTCCCTAGTGTGCGTGTGGTATTGGTCGGATGACCATCTAACGACCAACATATACCAACGACGGGTTAAACTCTTAGTGTCGCCGTCGTGGTCTTCTTCAGTCCGCAGGTTGCGCCAGCAGGCATCAAAGGCGACAGAAGTAGCATCGCAAACTATCTGGCGTTTTTCCTAAACCATCAATTCATACTTGCTGGTCATGCATCTTTTGATGTTTTCTTTCTGTTTTTCCTACCTGTCTCCCATTCATCTTATCTCAGATTTGTCAGTAGGGGAGGAGACTTGTTCTCTCATCGGTCGCCTCGTGTCCTTTTCGTAGCTATGGAGTAGGCATTCTCCTAGCATGAACAACCAAGCACTGGTTCTATTCATAATCCATAAACATTATTGAGCGAGCTATATATAGAATTAGCATTGAATTATAAAATTCACCTCTTTGTCTCGGCCTCCTCCCTCGCTAGACATATGAATTTCTTTTTTTCTCTACTTCTCTCACTCATAACATCATGATCATGTCGTCATTGTCGTCATCATCATCATCATACGACGAGTTCAGCAATGCCAATGGCGCATAACAATGCTGGGTCGCATCGATCCGTAACTGTACTTGGCCCCGTACCTGTCGTCTCACTCTGTTCTCAAGGTTTTTCTACGAAACTCCTGTCCACTCTAGAATATGAATGCATAAATACGATATTCTCATTCAGCTGATTATTTTTTCTGTAGAAAGTGAGAGAGAAAGAATCAATATGCAATTCTCATCGATTATTTCTGTCGTAACTTTTAAATCTCCAAAAGTTTAGTCTCCTGCCATATATGCATTTTATCGATTTTTTGGTTAGCTTAGTTGTTCGTTTTATTCGCTTTGTATTGCCATGTTCAGTATGCTCTGTCCCTCTCTCAGACTCTCCCTTCTCTCTCTTTTCGTCTGTTTCGCATAGCTTTTACCTCGTTTTCAAACCAAAGTCTGTAGTAGTTGTGGGTTAATGTGAAGTCGCGGAATGGGAAGTGATGTCCGGTTGGAAGACTTGCGAAATCGAACAGCAAGTCTTAAATCGTCGGTAACCATACATACCTTAGGTCTAAACGGGTCATCGTGAGTTGCAGTTCTTTTCTTCAAATTTTCTTTAGTTGTTGTAAGATTTGTCTCATACCTGATCACCTAGATGCTGCAGAAATCTCTTTGGTCGTCGAAGGATATTGCATTCACGAACTGTCCGCATAGGATATGGCCCTGTTGCTGAAGACACAGCTTTTCCTCCAAACACAGTATGTAATCAGAAATACAGTATATTCAGTTTTGTCCCATTGGTAAGTTGTATTCCGCATTATTCATCACAAACATCTTTTCAGGTTCTTTTTCAACAATTCAAATTTTTCTTAAATCTTTATTTCCTTTTAATGGCATGTAGTCAGTTTATTCCTGCTATACAAATCGGAGCTCCTATAACTTACTGGGGACCACTGGTAAATAGATTTATTCAAATTGCAATGTTTTCATCGCTCTCGAATTATAGGGATTTGTTTTAACTATCACATTGATTCGCGAAGCACTTGATGATTTTGTACGCTTCCTCCGTGATAAAGAACTCAACGGAGAGAAGTATGAGAAGTTAACGAGAGATGGAACACGAGTTGAAGTCAAAAGCTGGTATAAACTTGACTCGTTTTTTGCTTGTAATATCTTGTTATAGTGACATCAAAGTTGGTGACGTTATCGTGATTCACAAAGATCGTCGCGTTCCCGCTGATGTTGTTTTGCTACGAACCACAGAAAGACAAGTATGTTTAGCTTTGAAACATGAAATGCCTACAGAACTGAGGCAAAAATAATAAAATTCCAATTCAACCGCTCTTTGGTCATGCGCAAAATGAAATGAGAGAAATAGATTTCCCGTTCACGTATCACGTGGCCACGTCAGATTAATTAGAATACGGCTCTCATTGATTATTCGTTGCGGCCGTTTCGCTTCAAAATCGAAAGATATGATTCAAGATAGTTTGATGATGATGTTATTAAGGGAGCATGTTTCATCCGAACAGATCAACTCGATGGAGAAACAGATTGGAAATTGAGAGTTGCTGTTCCATTCACTCAACATTTGAATGCCGAAGCGGTTTGTTTACCTTTCAACAATAGTTATTTGATTTCGTTTTTTAGGACTTGATGGAAGTTAATTGTGAAATTTACGCTGAAAAGCCTCAGAAAGATATTCACGCCTTTGTCGGAACTTTCAAAGTTGCTTCGGATGATGATCAAATCCAAGATGGATCCTTAAACGTTGAAAATGTTCTGTGGTCTAATACAGTCTTAGCCAGTGGTACAGCTTTGGGCATCGTAGTTTACACTGGTCGCGAAACAAGATCCGTCATGAACACAACTTTACCTGAGAGTAAAGTCGGTCTTCTCGACTTAGAGGTAACTGACATATGCAAGCAAATGCTGTAACTTACGTTTCCAGGTTAACAATTTGACCAAATTACTGTTCGCTTTCGTAATGGTTTTGGCTGGTGTCATGGTTGTTATGAAAGGTCTGGATCCCAATTGGTATCGTTACCTTATGCGATTCGTTCTTCTGTTCTCCTACATCATTCCCATCTCTTTACGAGTAAACTTGGATATGGCGAAGGTATCACTTCCTTGTCTCTCTTGTTATTATGTACTCGTGTTATCAGTTGTTTTTCTCCTGGCAAATTGGAAGAGATAAGAACATCCCCGACACTGTTGTTAGATCCTCCACGATTCCAGAAGAATTAGGAAGAATATCTTTCTTGCTTTCTGATAAGACAGGAACACTCACTAAGAATGAAATGCACTTCAAGAAGGTTTTTTCACTGCAGTATCTTTTTGCTACATATTACATTGTAGATCCATCTTGGAACAGTTGCTTTCAGTTCAGATGCTTTTGAAGAAGTTGCTCAACACGTAGCTAGCGCCTATGCAGGAAAATTAGCGAAGTATGTGCGAACTCTTTCTTCCAAAAGTAGTTGTTCGTTATAGACACTCTTTCTCTGCAAAGTTACAAACAGCAGTTGAAGCCATTGCCCTGTGTCACAATGTAACACCAATCATGGAAGGTGGTAGTGCTTCTTACCAAGCTGCTAGTCCTGATGAGGTACGACTCTGCTCTATAGGTTTATCTCATGTTTCAATATCTCAGGTTGCTTTAGTCAGATGGACCGAGACTGTTGGTGTTAGATTGGCTAGTAGAGATTTGCATTCGATGCAAGTTCAACTAGCAAATGGCCAACGGAAACAATTTCAAGTTAGATATTAGATAGTAGATTCATTCTATTTTTCATTTTCAGATTCTACACCTGTTCCCATTCACTAGCGAAACGAAACGAATGGGTATCATTATCAAAGATGAAACAACCGACGAAGTTTCACTCCTTATGAAAGGAGCTGACACTGTTATGGCAGGAATGGTGCAATACAACGATTGGCTTGAAGAAGAATGTAGTAATATGGCAAGAGAAGGTTTGTACTGTGTTGAATTGCAGGTATTCAACCAATGCTTTAGGTTTGAGAACGCTTGTTGTTGCGAAGAAGATCTTATCCCAAGCTGAACTTGAACAGTTCGATAGAGCCTATCACACAGCTAAGGTATGTATCGATGTGATATCTCATAGTTAGTTGATCGTTTTTAGATGTCTATAACTGATCGAACCAACAACATGGCTAGCGTTGTGAATCGTTTGCTCGAAAAAGATCTTCAACTTCTTTGTTTAACAGGCGTTGAAGATCGTTTACAGGTAAGCCAGGTCTACAATACGTTCTCTAATTTTGCCATGTAAGGATCAAGTAACGACCTCATTGGAACTATTGAGAAACGCTGGAATCAAGATTTGGATGTTGACAGGAGATAAGTTGGAGACTGCCATTTGTATTGCGAAGTCTAGCGGTTTGAATAATCTGTAATCATGTTCTTCAACCCACATTTTCAGGATTGTTCAGTCGAACGGATAACGTTCACGTTTTTGGCCCTGTTCAAAACAGAACTGATGCTCACGCTGAACTTAATGCTTTGAGAAGGTTTCCTATAATGACTTCGAATATTGTAAACGCTGGATGGTTTCAGAAAAAGCGATGTAGCTCTGGTCATGCAGGGTAGTGCTTTGAACGTTTGTCTACAGTATTACGAAGCTGAAGTGGCAGAGCTGGTGTGTGCATGTACAGCGGTAGTGTGTTGCAGATGCTCTCCGGAACAGAAGGTAATGTGATCTTGACAATTTGTTCTTATGAATGATTTTCTGCAGGCTCAAATCGTTCAATTGCTGAAAAAATATAGAGCTCCTCTTCGAGTAGCCGCAATTGGTGATGGTGGTAACGATGTTAGTATGATTCAAGCTGCTCATGCTGGTATTGGAATAGACGCCAATGAAGGTAAGATTTATCAAGGATCGATGTTAACGTTATTACTTTGATAGGAAAACAAGCTTCCCTTGCTGCTGATTTCTCGATTACCCAATTTTCGCATGTTTGTCGTCTTCTATTGGTACATGGAAGGTTTTGTTATAAACGCTCTTGTGCCCTATCCCAGTTCGTCATGCACAGGTAGGACTCTTCGATCGTTTGCGAGTCAATCGAATAATTCCAGAGGTCTGATCATTTCCACGATGCAAGCTATATTTTCCTGTGTTTTCTATTTCGCCTCAGTCTCTCTGTATCAGGGCGTTCTTATGGTCGCGTAAGTTCATTGAGTTGTTGGAATTTATCATCGAACTTTTTCTTCCAGTTACTCAACCGCTTACACTATGCTACCTGTGTTCTCATTAGTCGTAGATAGAGATGTAACAGCAACAAACGCTTTGACTTATCCAGAGTTGTATAAAGAATTAGGAAAAGGACGCTCACTGTCGTATAAGACTTTCTGTATATGGGTCCTTATAAGCTTGTATCAAGGTGAGCTAATAAAGAGAAAATATCTTCTAAGATGTCGTCTAGGTGCTGTGATAATGTATGGTGCTCTACTAGTGTTCGATGCTGATTTCATTCATGTTGTTTCCATCTCCTTCTCTGCCCTCATCGTAACCGAGCTTATTATGGTTGCTATGACTGTACATACATGGCATTGGGCAATGTTGTTGGCACAGGTTCGTTTTATTTTGTATCTCCAGCATAATTCATTCGTTTGAAGGCTTTATCGTTGGGATTGTATGCTGTCTCGCTGGTCGTGTTCGATCAATACTTCGACCGACAGTTTGTGCTTTCCTGGGTCTTCATCTCTAAGACTACTGCTATTACTGCTATCTCATGTCTCCCTCTTTATGTTGTTAAGGCGTTACGAAGGAAATTTTCACCTCCCAGTTATGCGAAAGTCAACTGAGATCCCAGCTCTTTTCTTCCCTGTGCCAATGTGTGTGCCCTGTGGTTGCTTCGTGATAATAATGCTTTATATGTGATACCTATTACTTTATTTCTCTTTGTTGTTTTACAAGTAGTTATGGTACCGGTCTTTATATAGCATATGACATTTTTTGTTAATATAAGATAAAAATTTGTTTATTTTCTCCCTCTTGACCTGCATTCAGTTTCAATCTTCTGATTATTTCTGTCATTTCCTCAGGCGTTCTGAAGTACTCATTGTTCATACAGATATGGGAGTACTACTCACCCTGGGATGTTACCTTGTTGGTTTCTCCCCGTCATTCGCTATGTTTTGTCGTTTCATCGCTCCTGATGCTTTACGAATTATTTTGTTCGTCCTTGGGTATGTACTGTTTTCTTTCTTCTCTGAGAACCATGTTTAAGAGCATTCATGTGGTTGGTATCGTTGTTGTTGTCCTCCTTCACATGGCTTGTTGTTTCTATGCTTGTTGACTCTTTACCAATCACTGTTGCTATTTCCATCGCTTATCAAGAAGCAGCCAAAGTGTTTTATTTTTGGATTCTCAAAAAATCTCAGAGGTACCGGTGTTAGGGGTTTTCTCATACATTAACTTCTTCCAGTGGTTTGAACAAAATAGCTCATGCTGGAGATCGAACAGGCGAGAGAAACTTCATTTCTGACCTACACAATTCTAGACACATGCTGGCTCTGGTTAAATACTTCCAAGGATTCTAAAAAATAACTAAAGTGTTGTAGGTTTGTGGACTTGGGATGGGTGTGATTGCTGCTCTTTGCTACACAATGAACGTGTTCGCTGAGTTTGCCGGCTCCGGAAGTATTGGCCTTCCAGCAGCATTACTAGTTTGCTTTCTTTTAACGTTCCGTCGTAAGTATTACTGGTTCAGAAGAATTCGTCTGATGTCAACAGGGCAGGTGAATTTCTGCCTCTCTATTATGCTCTCTCAGCAATGTTTCTAACAATATTCCACGTAGTATGGGTTATTATGGTAATCAATAGCTACAACTTTCGTTTTTAATCATTCTTTGAAGGTTTGGGACTCTTGCCATCGGTTCTCTACAAGTAACCGCTGGTTCCTCTCTGGGTCTTTGGCTGTTGGCTCACATTATTTGGTTTCGGGCATTGTGAGTTTACATCTTGATTAGTGGAACGAACAGAACGGTTGCTATTGTTTTAGAGCTTGGTTAATGATTCCGGTTATCAAACACCTGCTCTTTTATCTCAATTGATTATCCTTCTCGCATGTATAGTCTATTGCCATGTTATCATGGGAGGTTCAGTGAAGTCATTCGTCAGCGGTATAAAGAGAGAGAATAATTGCTCGTCAATTGAAATTTTCTAGTCTGTTCAAACGCTGCTATGGACTGGGTGTCTTTACAGTGGGTGCGCAAGAAGATATGTGGAATGGGCACCATTGTTTTGGACGAGATTGAGGCTGAAGAGCGAACATAATTTTTTATCATCTAAGTTAACGCGGTTATCATTGATCTCATCTCTGTGCTTTATTGCCGTATACTCCCATCCTTGACTTCTAACGATTCTCTAATACTCATGCAAATCTGTTCACGCATATTAATTCACTGTACAAGTTTTCATTTTCAATCAGTTGTCCACTTGGAAGAATTGAATATTAAGATTGATATGTTTTACTTCAGAAAGAACACTTGGCAAGCTTATAAACTAAGTTCCATTTGAGCAGCTTTTTGTTTGGCCAGAGCTAATTTGATTCTATCCATTCGACTAGAAAGACGTTTTCCTTCAAGTAAATATGATTTCTTCATGATTATAACTAGCCTTACCCGTTATACTTCCGTTCTTCTTTGCTGAGTCACTCGTAGTTTCGGAACTAATAGTACTAGTCGTTGCGTCTATAATGATGTCAGCGTGTATCTTCAGACATACTTTCTTACCATCGTTTAGTGGAGCTATTTTGTTATGCGGAAGCTTTTTTGTTTGAACTGTCTTAACTTCCTTTGTATCCTCTGCTTCGAACACATCCGAAGAGAGGGCGGATAAATCATCTGCACTAGGAGATGGGACAGTATCTGATGTAGATGGGAGGAGGTTTTGTTGAACTATTGGAATATCAGACGACTTTATGGAAGCACTTAGATCTTCCATGGGCACTTCTTCCGAGATAGTGGGAGGTTGCGGATCCGACCTTTTTTAACTATGAAGTAGGAGGAGAAAGGAATGAGTTACCTTATAGGAATGGTGTAGGCGTTGTAACCTTCCATCAAACTTATTTCGCTCTTTCTTTGTTCGTGTTCGATTTGCATTAATCGCAGTTTCCGAGCATCGCGAGCTTCTTGTTGTCGGATTCGAAGTCGGACCTCTGCTTGTCGCACTCCCTCTGATATAGAAACATATTGTTCGACAATCTGTAAACGAGGTTTATGGCATATAAGAAGGAAGGGAAGGAAAACCTTGTCAATAAAATCACAGAACTGTTGTAGTAAAGGGGTTGGATTGATCTTAACTCGTTGACTAATTGCTTTATTGGCCGCGATGGCTTTCCAACTTGTCATTTTACGTAGATGCGTAACGAAAGGATATTGTTTGTTTTTTTCACACGACTCATGCAGATTAGCCTTCAATATCATAAGTTATTTAGAAGACTGATGCCATCCTCACCGTCAAACAGAAGTCAACGTCTTCTATGTCGCCTCCAGCAACATTGTTCATAACAAATAAAAATGGTTTCCCGAATGTATCTTTGTTTTCAATGCAGTCTCGAATACATTGGTAGGTCTGGAATGCTCAATTATCCTTCGAAAGTGTTTTATGGCCATATCAGAAACATGGGACGATGTAAAGTAGTCTGACTATCTGTTATGTTCTGACAAACCTCATCTTGTCGTGAAGGATCAGTCAAGTCGACAACGAATATAACACCATGCACCTGGAAAGTGATGTTGGGTGATTTCATTTTGCAATTGCTTGATCAATATGTAAGAGAGTTGTTACCTCTGCATAATAATTAGTCCAAATGTCGCGAATACGTTCACCACCGCCTAAATCAAATGCTTTGATGTTGAATGTTTGGGAGTATGGGAATTCTATAACGGAGAAACCATTTGTGGGGAGCACATCTCGAAAATCATCTATTGAAAATAATTGAGTATGAGAATAGTAGTGGAACATGTTTCACCTCCTTTAATGGTCTTAATAACTGCAGTCTTGCCTACGCTATCTATTCCTACGCAAACTAACTTAATTTCTCTGAAGTGGTACTCGATTTAGGTGATTCAATAGGATACTCACCGTACAACTTGGGAACGACGTTTGCAACAACACCACATCCAGCATGAGCTTCTTCGTGAGTCTAAGATTCGAAGTATACAAGATTATTTCAAAGAATTAAAAAACAATGAATTACGCGCAATCTAAGATTTCGTTTGGAATGTTTAACTCTTCGATTGATATCATTTGAATACAATCTTGTATCATTTACTTGAGAATACAATTTGTGACAGTGAGAGACAGACAGACAGACTTGCAAAACCTCAGAAATAGAAAAGGTTTAAGGTGGGTGTCATGGCGACGACGAATGCTTCTTGTCCCACGTTCTTCTCTGTGTCCCCAGCTGTTCCATTTCTCTTGCCTATACCTTGTCTCTCGCTCGTCCTACAAATTCTCTCTGTCTGTCTTTTCTCTTTATAGACATCTGGCATGTAAACATACCTATGAAAACTTTACTCCACCAGCTCACTCTGTAGGATAAATGATAGTCGTATTTTCCACTTTCTACCTTTAAGTTGAACTAAACTTTCGGTCAGTGACAGTCTAACATTTTAATTTGATAAGTGCAATTAGTTGCCTTGAGAATAGTCCTCGGTAGTATAGTGGTGAGTATCCGCGTCTGTCACATGCGAGACCCGGGTTCAATTCCCGGCCGGGGAGAATTTTTTGTTCATCTGTTTACCAGAAAACATAGGGCTTGTAACTATTATGGTCAATTACAGGTGAAATCGAACCAATCTGAATCGTTTGAGGTGGAATGAAACCGTTTTTGGCGGTTTTGAGCGGAATCCAACCATTCTGGACAGTGAGGGAGTAGAATGCAACCGTTCTGGACGGTTATGGGTAGAATGCAACCATTCTGGACGGTGATGGGTAGCATTTAACCGTTCTGGGCGGTTTTTGAGCGGAATGCAACTTTTCGGTGCATCTCAGGGGAGATCTAGACATATCCAGGCCCTATTCCTGGCTTAGCAACCGATGAGCTTTTTCCCCCTCTCTGGAGGACCTCCAGAGAGAGAGGAGTGGAGCTCACCGGCTCACGCTGCCAACTGACGTGATTCAGACGCTCCA